AGATGTAATGTACACACCCTGTAGCTTCCAGTGCTATGGACCGACATGACATCATCCTGTTGCGGAGAAAAATGGAGGACAGACAAAAAGGACAGAACAAGCTAGGACATAAGATAAGGTCAGGTGAGAAAGTGATATGAAGTAAAGGATACAGACCCGGCCATGATGGCTACTGGATCTACTACTAGTTCCAGAGAGCCGGGCCATTTCTGTGTCGGCCTGGAGATGGATGAGAATGTTGGTAAAGAGAGGGAGATGCAAGGAAAAGAAGTACAGTAAAAGGTAAACACAAGATTCAATATTGATCGGCAACAAAAATCGCCAACAAACTGTGCAGCTCCATTAATCCATCAGAAACACTGCAACATGAGCAGTTCAACCACACATGGACAGAACATAAGGGAGAAATCCAGGTTTCCACACAGAAATCCCTTTGAAAGGTTACTAACTAGCTACAGTATTGTACACTCACGTATTTTCAATGTGTGAATAGCACACCATACTCAACAGGTAACATAACCGGGACCGAGTTTTGATTGGGGCCCCATGCAACCAATCAGGGGTGAGTTTCCACAAAACAAAGATCTTTAGCTTACCATTGGACTTAATAATCTTAGTGCAAAAAATTATCTTCATGTTTTTGAGAACTCACCCCATTTCAGCAACGCTCACTCAATAGTGGTTAGAGAACAGAAAACAGGATCAAACTGCCTCATTCCAATGAAAATCAACGTTAGCACCAAACTGCCTCATTGTATAGTATAAAATACCCAAATAAGGTAAGAAGCCAAAGCCAACTCTCAACCCACAGATAAAGGTGTCTCCAAAGCAAATACATGGCTGAACAATATTTCTAATGTGATGTAAGGTTCTGTCATCAGAGGGCACTGTTCAGGGGGGATAGAGGCCAACTCCCACAACAGAGAAGACTGTGTTCGTACAGAGAGGCCCATGCTCCCTGGCCTAGTGTTACCATCCATTGGTGGATCGAGCCCCAGCTTTTCCTGCTGCTGGATGAGCAGTGGTGAGAGGAGAGCTGGACAGAACAGGGGGAGGGAGAGAGTGCTAGAGAATTTACACACAAATACCTTATATGATATAGAGTCAGTCAGTCACACAAGGTTAATAATTTGCATACAAGGCAAAGAGAAAAAGAAATACAGATATCTGGATTTGATCTGTGAACACGCAGCACTCGTATACCCCAACATCTCCTGGTTCAACAAGAGAAATGGCGGGAACTCTTTCTTGAATTAATCAGAGTTGACTGTATGTGTGTGTGTTGTGTTGCACGGTATACAGAAACTTCATTACTTTTGAGACTCAAACATGAAAAACGGTTGTGTACTAGATTTTGTACTTTCAGTACTTCTGTCAAATGTGTCTCACGTTCTTCACGAATTGAGAGGATCGAGTCTGTCTAGTAATTTGTTGGAATCTTTTGAAGGGGGCAGTAGTAGGCTAGCTATTTGCGCTTGCAGCTGAGACAGCGCAAGCCACTTTTGAGAAGCAAGTGAGGAGAGAAAATACAGACAGCATGGCTTCTAACGAAAACATACCTCCACGCCCGCAGCTTGTTGACAAAACTGGCTCCAGAAGCGAACTATGGGAATACTTTGCTTACAGAGCAGATGAGGCCCAGCCTCAAAAGGTGTTACAAAGCAGTGCAAGTGAGGTTTAGTTCCAAGACGTCATAAAAAACAATTTTAAACATTACAATAGCATTGTAATGTTATTCTACTGCAAATTGCACGCTCCCTCAAAACTTGAGACATCTGTGGCGTTGTGTTGTGTGACAAAACTGCACAGTGACCTTATTGTCCCCAGCACAAGGCTCACCTATGTAATGATCATGCTGTTTAATCAACTTCTTGATATGCCACACCTGTCAGGTGGATGGATTAGCGTGGCAGAAAAGAAATGCACACTAACATGGATGTAAACACATTTGTGCAAAACATTTGAGAGAAATAAGCTTTTTGTGCGTATGGAACATTTCTGGGATCTTTTATTTCAGCTCATGAAACATGGGACCAACACTTTACATGTTGCATTCATACTTTTGTTCAGTGTATTTCGAAAACTTCTCGTTTGTCTGGGCTTGCTATCGGTAGCCAGCAAGCAGCCCTGGGCGAAGCATTGCACCCTGGGAGTTGAAATACACTTTGGGAATCGTAGTATGCTGGGTAAAACCCATTGTATTTCTATGGTGTATAGACTATATTGCAATATAGAAGCTTCAGATATAAGCTTCAGTGTTTTTTTGTGTCGTTTTGGAACTAAAACGATCAATTTAATACATTACAATATTTAGCTGTAATGACACATAGGTCTAATTAATGTTATTTGACCCAATATTATGGCCATAGATGAGCAAATTAACCCTGATACAGTGAGGGAAAAAAGTATTTGATCCCCTGCTGATTTTGTACGTTTGCCCACTGACAAAGAAATGATCAGTCTATAATTTTAATGGTAGGTTTATTTGAACAGTGAGAGACAGAATAACAACAAACAAATCCAGAAAAACGCTTGTCAAAAATGTTATAAATTGATTTGCATTTTAATGAGGGAAATAAGTATTTGACCCCCTCTCAATCAGAAAGATTTCTGGCTCCCAGGTGTCTTTTATACAGGTAACGAGCTGAGATTAGGAGCACACTCTTAAAGGGAGTGCTCCTAATCTCAGTTTGTTACCTGTATAAAAGACACCTGTCCACAGAAGCAATCAATCAATCAGATTCCAAACTCTCCACCATGGCCAAGACCAAAGAGCTCTCCAAGGATGTCAGGGACAAGATTGTAGACCTACACAAGGCTGGAATGGGCTACAAGACCATCGCCAAGCAGCTTGGTGAGAAGGTGACGACAGTTGGTGCGATTATTCGCAAATGGAAGAAACACAAAATAACTGTCAATCTCCCTCGGCCTGGGGCTCCATGCAAGATCTCACCTCGTGGAGTTGCAATGATCATGAGAACGGTGAGGAATCAGCCCAGAACTACACGGGAGGATCTTGTCGATGATCTCAAGGCAGCTGGGACCATAGTCACCAAGAAAACAATTGGTAACACACTACGCCGTGAAGGACCGAAATCCTGCAGTGCCCTCAATGTCCCCCTGCTCAAGAAAGCACATATACAGGGCCGTCTGAAGTTTGCCAATGAACATCTGAATGATTCAGAGGAGAACTGGGTGAAAGTGTTGTGGTCAGATGAGACCAAAATCTAGCTCTTTGGATCAACTCAACTCGCCGTGTTTGGAGGAGGAGGAATGCTGCCTATGACCCCAAGAACACCATCCCCACCGTCAAACATGGAGGTGGAAACATTATGCTTTGGGGGTGTTTTTCTGCTAAGGGGACAGGACAACTTCACCGCACCAAAGGGACGATGGACGGGCCATGTACTGTCAAATCTTGGGTGAGAACCTCCTTCCCTCAGCCAGGGCATTGAAAATGGGTCGTGGATGGGTATTCCAGCATGACAATGACCCAAAACACACTGCCAACGCAACAAAGGAGTGGCTCAAGAAAAAGCACATTAAGGTCCTGGAGTGGCCTAGCCAGTCTCCAGACCTTAATCCCATAGCAAATCTGTGGAGGGAGCTGAAGGTTCGAGTTGCCAAACGTCAGCCTCGAAACCTTAATGACTTGGAGAAGATCTGCAAAGAGGAGTGGGACAAAATCCCTCCTGAGATGTGTGCAAACCTGGTGGCCAACTACAATAAATGTCTGACCTCTGTGATTGCCAACAAGGATTTTGCCACCAAGTACTAAGTCATGTTTTGCAGAGGGGTCAAATACTTATTTCCCTCATTAAAATGCAAATCAATTCATAACATTTCTGACATGCGTTTTTCTCGATTTGTTGTTGTTGTTATTCTGTCTCTCACTGTTCAAATAAACCTACCATTAAAATTATAGACTGATCATGTCTTTGTCAGTGGGCAGACGTACAAAATCAGCAGGGGATCAAATACTTTTTCCCCTCACTGTATGTTTCAAGAAAGGAGTGTATATATTTGGCCTGGCGAAGCAGTTTTGAGTTTTTTACTCCACTGGTCTCGGTTAGAAATTACGAGTCCTCACTGTCCGAGACCGAGTCAAGACAGACTACAAATGTATCCGACATTGAGACAAGGCCCGAGACACTCAATGTGGTCTCGAAACCGGACTCAGGAATGAGTGGCAGCATCGGGCACACAGAGATATAATAATCAACGAATTCTCAAACATCGAGCAATATGACATTTAATCAATTACAAATTACATGGCGATCCCCTGGACTAAAAAAAAAAAAAAAACTAAACACTCCCCCTGACTGAAATATAAAAAGCATGACCATCCCCCATTTTCCTCCGGGTAACAATTTGTGTAAATGTCAACCGCTCCCTAAGAACATTTAACATGAATTTATAGTAAAAAACATGTATTTTTCCACATTCTCAACAGTGTGCAGGTCTCTATCTTTTCTATCAATAACTCGAATAATAATTGGATTGGATTTATATTGCGCTTTTCCCAATATTCAAAGCACTTTTAATTGTATGGAGGGGAACTCTCCACATAAATCAAGTAATGACATCAAGCTAACCCTCCAGGAAACGTGATTCTGCGATTGCATAATTCAATGCATAATCAACTATTGTGAATACAAAGCTGTATGAAACCTCACACAAATCGTACAATGCCTAATGGATTTGATGATAGCCCATATACCTTTTATTTAGTCATTGTGTAAACATGACATGAACTCACTATTAGAAATGACTACAAAAACCCATTGATTAGCTTCCAAATTTCACCATATTCCAGGGCTCTCCAACCCTGTTCCTGGAGAGCTACCCTCCTGTAGGTTTTCAATCCAACCCCAGTTGTAATTTACCTGATTCAGCTTATAAACCAGCTAATTATTAGAATCAGGTGAGCTAGATTAGGGTTGGAGCGAAAACCTACAGGATGGTAGCTCTCCAGGAACAGGGTAGGAGAGCCCTGCCCTATTCCCTATATAGTGCACTATTTTTGGGTCAGGCTCAATAGGAGCAGTAGGACCTGCTACCCAAAGGGGCTGAGGACAGCTGTCCAGCAGCCATACAGGGAGTTCAGGTGTGCATGTGCTTGTCGTCGCTACAGGGTGTTCTTGGCTATAGCGTTCAGAGAGCGGACTTTGCTCACGTCTGCCACCTTCAGGCCGTACTCGGGAGCTGTCAGTGAGGCGCCCATGTTCACACAGGAGTTTCTGCAGGGGAGAGAAGACAGAACTAATAAATTAGTACTAATTTAATTTATGTAGCACTTTTAACTACAAGCATTGTCACAATGTGCTTTATGGGTAAACGGGCTGAAAACTCCACACAGCAAGCTGCAGCACAGTGGCAAGGACTCACCTGAACTTCATGGCAGAGTCCTTACTGGAGCGAGCAGAACAATGGAACTCCAGAACCCCAGAACCTTCTAGAATCCTCTGGAGATTCCGCTCTGTGATACCCCCTCCTAGAACAGTCACACACACATATTAGAAAGATAAGAACATTAGGTACATTGTTACTGCAGACTTGTATGCAGTATCCAGTGATGATCGGCTGAAAAGGGGAATTCACTTGACTTAAACAAAAATGTAGGGCACTTACCAGGCATAATGGTTATTCTCCCTTTAGCCTGTTGGATAAAAAGATAGGTTTGGTGAAAAAGCAGAAAAGGACAGATCAGAAAACATGTAAGGGGACAGAGGGGCAAGACAGCTGACATGATAGGTTGGATGAATAAGCTGTGAAATTAGTTTTGAAATCTAGTTCTCCGAAGGTGAATGGGAGGACTCTTCAGACTATTGAGATGCACGCTGTGTGGAGGGGGTTTCGGGTTGTTTTGGGACTGGGCAGGAAGAGTACGTTTTAGGATTGGATCCCTGTCCATTGTTCCAGACTCTCACCTGTTCCACCAGGCGTTTGATGAGAGGCAGTCCCTCCAGAGCTGAACAGTCACAGCCGCTGGTCAGAACACGCTCAAACCCCAAAGACACCAGCGTCTCCAAGGCAACCACGGGGTCGTGCACCATGTCAAAGGCTAAAACACAGCAATCAAAGGTCAGGGTTGTGGTCAATTATCTTTCATGTGTCAGTCTATGTCTTAACATAAATGTCACCAAGACCAGACCAAACAATCAGTCATGAAACCATAGGAAGCTGTTTTGTGTTTTACCTCTGTGGAAAGTAACAGGTAGAGGACGAGAAACAGCTGGTGGCGAGAGAGAGGGAATGAATTGGATAAAATGAGAATCAGCATCACTGACAGTTTCTGTCGATTTTCAAACGCTTGCTCAAAAATCCCAGGATCCTCAGATGGCAGGGCCAAGATTCTGTGCCCACTTAAATCGCATGAACTCACGCACACACTCCTACCTAGCAATTCCATACAGAGTTCAGCGTCTATTCTCCCATCCTCAGTCAGAGCTCCCAGCACCAGTCCATCTGCCCCATGACTCTTCACCAGCTCAATGTCCTTTCTCATCACCTCCACCTCCCAGTCAGAGTACAGGAAATCCCCCCCGCGGGGACGAATCATGGTATAGACCGGGATACGCACATACTGCTTCACCACTTGCAGCAGACCTGGGCCAAACCAAGTGATGGAGAAATAGGGGGAAGAGAGGTTACAACACAGCATTGATAATTTTCATAACTTTTCAAATGAATTCTGAAGACAATACTACAGCCTTTTCATTACCATGTGCAAACACTACCTTCATACAACATAAAGCACTTTGAGACAGTGAAAAGCGCTACATGAACGCAATATTTTATGCCATCCATTGACAGACACCCATAGACATGAATTGAGATCTGTATGGGTTTACCCATATGCAGGCTGTTGGTTTATGTATGCTAGGTGTGCGGTCTCACTCTCACCTATACTGGGCGTGATTCCTCCCTCTAGTAGACTAGAACACAGCTCCAGCCGACCAGCACCTGTGGGTTATAAACACACACCCTGAGTAGGGTCTACCTGCGGACCACGGTGTGTAGTGACGATCAACTACACACCGCGCCTACCAAGTTACGCCACGCGAGAGTTGGGTTCAATAGGGTCTGGCTCCAGCAGACATGTGTGGTAGCTAGCGTTGTCCACCCTAGCTAGCACATGCAAGTTAGCACAAGCTAGGTAACTAGCACTACCTAGCTAGCGTGTAGTGTCTGCAGTCCGCAGATAGATATTATTGCACACCCGTGGCAAGGATAAGGTTAAACAAAGTTTGCAACAGCCATACAGGGTGTTTCTCAATATGCATACTATCGTGCTCCACACTCTCATGCTCCGAGTGCATTCTCCTAGGATGTTCTCGTGAGTACGTTCTTGTGAGGACGAGAGAGTGGAGAACGCATAAAATATTACATTGAGCATCCACTATCACTCCCCCTACTGTATTAGCTAACGCTGTACATCCCCATTCACTGAACCTTCTTCCAGCCAGGATAATGGCAAGACAAAACAAGATATACACAAAGCAAACGTTTAACTTCAAAATGATCAGCTAGCTAAATGTGAATTGAAAATATTTTAGGTAGCCAGCTAGTTTATTAACAGGCAAACTCTACTTTAAACTAATGTTACGCAAGGTCAATGACTAGCTGTCAATTCTTTGTGGGTAGCTAGCTACCAATTCTTCGTAGCTAGCTAGCCAGTTAGCCCTATTGACTTACTGGGCTTTCGATCTACGCACACGTCAGTGGGTAATGCCAAAATTAACACAGTATACATTCATCAACGTATCACGATACAATGTTGTAGTCAGGCAATATATGATATGTGAATGGCCAACATTTCATTCCGAAGTCAGTTTATTTTCTCTCACTTCGGATCAAATAATGTCGACTATTGATTTCAATAAATGTTGCATTGTTTTTTTTTTACGTAGGTACATCATATTTCTGTGCATACTTTCCGTTGAAGCTTGCACGGATGCATGCTTCAAAATATGTACAAACGGAGTACGCGAACGAGAAGCGCCCTCCGTGGCTCCGTTTCGCATACTTTGATTTGGCCAAACTGATCCGTGGAGAACGAAACCAAACTGGATTTTAGTGCACATCTGGATTTTGGATAATTGGCAAACGTATCCATCGGCCCGTCTCCCCTGACCGTCAACATCCCCTGACCCTGACCCTCATGCTCCGACGCTCCCGTGCTCGAAGCACGGTAGTATGTATATTGAGGAACACCCACAGACATATGTTATTTGAAAGTGACCTTTGAGCAGGATAGTGTGTTATGAAATAAAGGGAAGCAATGTTCACCATTGCGGAATAAAGGACAGTATATCACTTTGCTTTTGGCTCTATCATTTTTATGGTCTAAAGAAGGGTTACTCAAATAGTATTTGAGAAGGTCCGGTCACACTCTTGCTTCCTACTTTGGCCCTCTTTATGATCACTCTTCTTCCTATGTCTTTCCACTCCAGACCATTCAGTTTCCTTGATCCTAATCCTCCCTCTCCATATCATCAGAACTGACACCCATATTGTTCGCATTCCAGCACAGCTGTTGCTTCTCCAACCTTTTCTCCATTTCGTCCACACTACTCGCTGCCATTTCCAACCCGAGCGCGTTGTCAAGCCCTTTCTCACACTCAAACACAGGCCAGCCTTGTCATATTTTTGATGAGGCAAATAACATTTAACAAACTGTTTTCAGCGTCACAAGTCTACTCCTCTTCGGCAAGCGCAGCCCCAACTCTAATCTAATGCACCTGATTAAAATAATTAGCTGGTTGATAAGATGAATCAGGTTAGATACAGCTGGGGTTGGATTGAAAACCTACAGGAGGGTATCTCTCCAGGAACAGTATGGGAGAGTCCTGGTCTAAAGTCAGCGAAAGGTGACTGGATACAGACGGCTTCACTTAGGGGAGGTTAGTTTACACTATAGCAGCGTAGCCTACCTCCCCCCTCGGCGTTGATGGCAGACTCCACACTGTCCACACACACCTCCATCAAAAAGCCCTCTGCCATCCTACACACACACACACACACACACACACACACACACACACACACACAGGGAGGGTGATAAATAGATTGTTTCCACGAAATGCCAGACTGGTGTACTCAAAATCAATTCACACAGTATATGTCGACAAATACCAGACTTTTAAGCTATTTCAAGTTTCGACTTCCGTGTTTACCTACCCGTCAACCAAAGATTTGTATAACTAGCTCCTTGTTATATGTGTGCGTCAACTCTCCACCGTTTCAGCCTTCACTAGTAGTCAAGATTCAATCTTCATTCGGACATCGGCCATGCTCATCTGTTTTGCCCTATCTGTGATCGATTAGTCGTCCTGGTGAAATATCAATCATAGAAATAGTTGATTGAATATGGGTTTTTATCCACAAGTATCAATACATTTTTGTTTTATTTTACAAATGTTTTAAATAGTACAACTGTAAAATGTTATTTGCGTAGCATCAATGTGACGTCAGAGGTCAGAGTTGAAATGCATGGCTCTGTTAGGAAACACGGTTGTGTAATTTTTTTTTATCGAAGTCCCGTATTCCTACCGCTGTTGAGTGAGAGGACCATTTGAAATAAGGATGCTGCTCCCTTCGTTAAGGACGTTGGTTTCGTGTAGCTGTCGAAATGCTGGGAGAGGATTTCAGCAGAGCAATGTAAGTAGAGGACATGGACTAGCTAGCAAGCTGCTAACGTTATCATGGCTGACCAACCTGCATCATGTCGGAAAGTGGGTTTCATTTCTTGCTATTTTCAAGACAACTTGGAACAAAGTGATCTTCAGGTCGGAAAGTCGGAGCTGTAGAAAGATACCCGACTTCAGAGTTGGATGACCGTTCAAAACCATTTTCCCCAGTTGACCTGGTTTTTCACCTGAGTTCCCAGTTGTCTTGAACGCACTGAAGTCGGAGTGTTCGGAGTTCCCAGTTTTTTTGAACGCGGCATAAATTCCACTCCAAGGTGAAGGAAGCAAAAATGCGGTAACTAAAGAGGGTTATGGAACGCAGACCGTGGGGTATTGAACAAGGACGCCGGTTTGGCGCACATTAAACAGATTTGATCTAACAAAGTGGATATTCGTCATGATTGATGTATTGTGTAACGCCCACAATGTGGTTACTAAAGTCACATTTGGATATGTGGCTGTTTTTCGCTGCATAACATTTAGAAGAAGTGACTGCTAAATGCTAACTCACGTTTATATAAACTGGTAGCATAGCTAGCATACAGGAATCGGTGGTGGGAGTCAGTCGTTTTTAACTGCAACGCAGTTGATTGGTGACGATGACATTAACATGTGTTGGGGTTGACATCCATACAAGCGTTATACTCAGATTTTTACCACAACAGTGTGAAATACACAATTATACCATGGCATTGTTGAATACTTGTTTCTGATTGGCTTAAACGGCATTCTAGAGCGAGCATTAGTGGATTGCGCAGTCAGATGGACGAGAGTAAATATGACCGACATCCTCGATTTGTCTTATGTAGCAACATTGTCAGCCAATCAGCAGCATTCAGGGATTGAACCAACCAGTTTATAATTCCCTATAACTCACGGTATATCAGCACAGTAGAATTCAATGGCTATAGTTCATTCTTGCATGTTCTATGTTTGAGCTGCCTTTGAAGCATAAGTCGAATTGAAAACATTTTCATTGTTGAATTCTATTTTCATTATAGCAAGCTAGGACTGATGGTTTGGTTAGCTAAACTAGCAGGTTTGTTTGGTTACCAAGGCAACTACTTTAGCTATCTAGTAACTGTGCTAGCTACTTCAGTGAATGTTGAACACATTTCTACCTGCAAATGTGTTAAATTATAGCTGTGGTATAAAAGGGATAATCAACTCGGCGCTCTATGCGTTCTCTGGAAAATTATGCTACTCTGTGGAAGGGGCAATTTCATGAATAGTCATGAGTCTCGACATAGAACCCATCGTGTGATTGGTTGAGCCTTCTTGAGTGTGTGACGTCACACAGATGCTCTACAGAGACTTCTGTTTAGCTAGCTCGTGCCGCCGGCATGAGCAGTTGGTGGTTACTACTGGTTTCAGAGAGAAATTGTCCGTTATTTTTTAGTAAGGGGTCAGAGAGACGTCACGCAACCAAGAAGGCTAAACTAATCACCCGACGAGTACTATGTTGAGATTCAGGAAATTGGCCCCCGCCTTCCTATGAAAGGAAATTTCACTTACCACATCTATAGAAATCATATTAAATTACTAGAGGGGTTATGTCATAAACCGTCAAAGTTCCATAATGGGGTGGAAATGGCAGCCATCTTGGTCAGGCAGAAATCCAAAACCAGTCTAATTGGAATGAATGGCAGTAGAGGCATCCCACCTAGCAAAATGTTGTTGAAAAGACGACTGCCTGACGTCCAATCTACGCTCAGTTTTGGTTGACAGTGAAAGTTGAAAGGACGCCATTTTCAGGTCGTTGTTTCAATGACTTGAAAACTATTTAATTTCAATGTACTTGCAGCCTATATGCATGGACGCTGTATAAAAAATTGGTCTATGAACACAGTATTTCTTTACAACACTCAAGTGCTAATTGTTTTTATTCCACTACTGAAGCAGCATGACTCGAATCGTCATACCTACTCATATTTCAAACATCCAGCATGACAAAATATACTTGTTTTTAATTATTCCATGCCTCACTGTTCAGTTAATTATTGCCAATACATATTAACAAAGGGGTTTCCATTTGGATTTAATATTTCCATTTTATGTAACATTTAGTAATCATTATTTACGCAACCAACTAATATTTTTTTTGTACACTTATATTATTTAGCAAAAATATTGTAAAACAAGCTTATTGTTCTTTTTTATTTCCAAGATGGCGAAGTAGTGCAGTCTGTTTCTGTCGTGTGTCTGTAAATAGCCTGTAAATACCTTGTTTTTTTTTTGTATTTTTCGTACCTATTTCCCTATCAGACTTTTCATCCTTCTACAAAATATACTTTCCTGCAACCCGCCTCACTCAATGTGGAACGGACTCTATTATTGACTTACCTTTTATCTAGAATCTCCAGTGAAACTAGCTAGCCAGCTAACTAGCTACCTGCTATTAGCCTTAGCTAGCGGTGTTTCACCCAGAACATTGGATTTTCTTCTGCGGGATTAATTTTAATCACTGGACATTGATCACCGGATATTCGGCCAGTCTGCACAGCGCGTTATCGACCCAGAACATATCAGTTTTTCCGCTGGAACCATTGAATCACTGGACCTTTAACTCCGGATTCGTCGCTACCAGCTAGCTACAACAAAACGGACGCTGTGGTCTGGCTAATTATCCTGAGCTAAGCCCATCTCCCGGCTATCTACCTCTCTGTCAACCGGACGGGACCACCTAGTATTGACACGGAGCCCCGCCGATCCTACACGACTGGTCTGCCGACGAAATCGTCTGATGTGGTTACGACGTTAACCACGAAGATTCCATCCATCTGCTAGCCCTGGCCCGCTAGCACACGCTAGCCGTGGCCTCTTACTAGTGCTTCACCACCGGACCTTATGATAACTCAGCTATACAGCTGATATCTGCTGGACTGTTCCTTTTTACGGTACTACATCCTGTTTATGTTTAGCCTCAGCCCAAACATGGTTAGTTTATTGTTGTTTCGGTTATTTCTAATTGTACTATATCACTGCAGACCCCCCAGCCTAGCTAAACTTGCCTTAGATAGCTCCTTTGCACCTCCTCCAATACACGCGGAGACCGACTCAATTTATGCCTCTAGAGATACCTCCAGCGATGCTATCTCTTTCATCGTTACCCAACGCTTAGGTTTACCTCCACTTTACTCATATCCTTCCATATCCTTGTCTGTACATAATGCCCTGAATCTTTTCTATAACACCCGGAAATTCCCCCTTTTTTCTCTGTACCCAACGCACTAGAAGACCAGTTCTTAAAGCCTTTAGCCGTATCCTTATTCTAGTCCTCCTCTGTTCCTCTGGTGATGTAGAGGCTAACCCAGGCCCTGCAGCCCTCAGTATCACTCCTACTCCCCAGGCGCTATCATTTGATGACTTCTGTAATCGCAAAAGTCTTGGTTTCTTGCACATAAATATCAGAAGTCTACTTCCTAAGTTTGAGTTATTCACTGCGTTAGCACACTCTGCCAACCCTGATGTTCTAGCAGTGTCTGAATCCTGGCTCAGGAAGGCCACCATAAATTCTGAAATTTCCATCCCCAACTATAACATTTTCCGTCTAGATAGAACTGCCAAAGGGGGTGGAGTTGCAATCTACTGTAGAGATAGCCTGCAGAGCTCTATCATACTATCCAGGTCTGTGCCCAAACAGTTTGAGCTTCTACTTTTAAAAATCCACCTTTCCAGAAATAAGTCTCTCACTGTTGCCGCTTGCTACAGACCCCCCTCAGCCCCCAGCTGTGCCCTGGACACCATATGTGAATTGATCGCCCCCCATTTATCCTCAGAGTTTGTACTGCTTGGTGACCTAAATTGGGATATGCTTAATACCCCAGCCATCCTACAATCCAAGCTAGATGCCCTCAACCTCACGCAAATTATCAACGAACCTACCAGGTACAACCCAAAATCCGTAAACATGGGTACCCTCATAGATATCATCCTGACTAACATACCCTCTAAATACACCTCAGCTGTCTTCAACCAGGATCTCAGCGATCACTGCCTTATTGCCTGCGTCCGTAACGGGTCCGCGGTCAAACGACCACCCCTCATCACTGTCAAACGCTCCCTAAAACACTTTAGCGAGGAGGCCTTCCTAATGGACCTGGCCCAGGTATCCTGGATGGATATAGATCTCATTCCGTCAGTAGAGGATGCCTGGTTGTTCCTTAAAAGTAATTTCCTCTCAATCTTAAATAAACATGCCCCATTCAAAAAATACAGAACTAAGAACCGATATAGCCCCTGGTTCTCCTCAGACTTGACTGCCCTTGACCAGCACAAAAACATCCTGTGGCGTACAGCATTAGCATCAAATAGCCCCCGCGATATGCAACTTTTCAGGGAAGTTAGGAACCAATATACACAAGCAGTCAGGAAAGCAAAGGCTAACTTTTTCAAACAGAAATTTGCATCCTGTAGCACTAACTCCAAAAAGTTTTGGGACACTGTAAAGTCCATGGAGAATAAGAGCACTTCCTCCCAGCTGCCCACTGCACTGAGGCTAGGAAACACTATCACCACCGATAAATCTACAATAATCGAGAATTTCAACAAGCATTTTGCTACAGCTGGCCATGCTTTCCATCTGGCTACCACTAACCCGGCCACCAACTCTGCACCCTCTGCTGCAACTTGCCCATGCCCCCCCCGCTTCTCCTTCACACAAATTCAGACAGCTGATGTTTTGAAAGCGCTGCAAAATCTGGACCCCTACAAATCAGCTGGGCTAGACAATCTGGACCCTTTCTTTCTAAAACTAGCCGCTGAAATTGTCGCTAACCCTATTACTAGTCTGTTTAACCTCTCTTTCATAATGTCTGAGATCCCCAGAGATTGGAAAGCTGCCGCGGTCATCCCCCTCTTCAAAGGGGGTGACACTCTAGATCCAAACTGCTACAGACCTATATCCATCCTGCCCTGCCTTTCGAAAGTATTCGAAAGCCAAGTTAACAAACAGATCATCGACCATTTCGAATACCACCGTACCTTCTCCGCTATGCAATCCGGTTTCCGAGCTGGTCACGGGTGCACTTCAGCCACGCTCAAGGTCCTAAACGATATTATAACCGCGATTGATAATAGACAGTACTGTGCAGCTGTCTTCATCGACCTGGCCAAGGCTTTCGACTCTGTCAACCACCGCATTCTTATTGGCAGACTAAATAGCCTTGGTTTCTCAAATGACTGCCTCGCCTGGTTCACCAACTACTTCTCAGATAGAGTTCAGTGTGTCAAATCGGAGGGCCTGTTGTCTGGACCTATGGCAGTCTCTATGGGGGTGCCACAGGGTTCAATTCTTGGGCCGACACTTTTCTCCGTGTATATCAATGATGTCGCTCTTGCTGCTGGTGACTCTCTGATCCACCTCTACGCAGACGACACCATTTTGTATACATCTGGCCCTTCATTGGACACTGTGTTAACAAACCTCCAAACGAGCTTCAATGCCATACAACAATCCTTCAGTAGCCTCCAACTGCTCTTAAACACTAGTAAAACTAAATGCATGCTTTTCAATCGAACGCTGCTGGCACCCGCCCACCCGACTAGAATCACCACTCTCGACGGGTCTGACCTAGAGTATGTGGACAACTACAAATACCTAGGTGTCTGGTTAGACTGTAAACTCAACTTCCAGACTCACATAAAGAATCTCCAATCCAAAGTTAAATCTAGAATCGGCTTCCTATTTCGCAATAAAGCCTCCTTCACTCATGCTGCCAAACATGCCCTCGTAAAACTGACTATCCTACCGATCCTTGACTTCGGCGATGTAATTTACAAAATAGCCTCCAACACTCTACTCAGCAAGTTGGATGTAGTCTATCACAGTGCCATCCGTTTTGTCTCCAAAGCCCCATACACTACCCACCACTGTGACCTGTACGCTCTTGTTGGCTGGTCCTCACTACATGTTCGTCGTCAAACCCACTGGCTCCAGGCCATCTATAAATCACTGCTAGGCAAATCCCCGCCTTATCTTAGCTCATTGGTCACCATAGCAGCACCCACCCGTAGTCTACGCTCCAGCAGGTATATCTCACTGGTCATTCCCAAAGCCAACACCTCCTTTGGCCGCCATTCCTTCCAGTTCTCTGCTGCCAATGACTGGAACGAATTGCAAAAATCTCTGAAGCTGGAGACTCTTATCTCCCTTAATAACTTTAAGCATCAGTTGTCAGAGCACCTTACCGATCACTGCACCTGTACACAGCCCATCCGAAATTAGCCCACCCAACTACCTCATCCCTATATTATTTATTTTGCTCTTTTGCACCCCAGTATCTCTATTTGCACATAATCTCTTGCACATCTAGCATTCCAGTGTTAATACTATTGTAATTATTCTGCACTATAGCCTATTTATTGCCTTACCTCCATAACTTGCTACATTTGCACACACTGTATATATATTTTCTGTTGTATTTTCTGACTTTATGTTTTTTTTACCCCATATGTAACTCTGTTGTTTTTATTGCACTACTTTGCTTTATCTTGGCCAGGTCGCAGTTGTAAATGAGAACTTGTTCTCAACTGGCTTACCTGGTTAAATAAAGGTGAAATAAAAAAAATAAAAAAAATATTTTGGGTTAGACATTGCATCCAATTCTTACTCTTTGAATCAATCAACATATTGCAAAACCAATGAACTGACCAATCAACCGACTCTTGCAAAACCAATGAACAAATATGTGTAAAAGCAACACATCTTGGTCCATCTTAGTATGAGAAACAGGGGCCTCCCGAGTGGCGCAGCGGTCTAAGGCACTGCATCGCAGTGTTGAGGCATCACTACAGCCTGGGGTTCGATCCCGGGCTGTGTCACAGCCGGCCATGATCGGGAGTCCCAAAGGGTGGCGTACAATTACTCCAGCATCGTCCGCGTTAGGGAAGGGTTTGTCCGGGGGGCTTTCCTTTGCTCATCGTGCTCTAGCGACTCCTTGTGGCGGGCCGGGCGCCTGCAAGCTGACTTCAGTTGTCAGTTGAACGGTGTTTCCTCCGACACATTGGCTGGCTTCCGGGTTAAGCGAGTGGGTGTTAAGAAGCAGCGTGGCTTGGGGGGTCATGTTTCGGAGGACGCATGATTCGACCTTGCAGCGATGAGACAAGATCGCAATTGGATATCACGAAATTGGGGAGAAAAAGGGGGTACATTTTTTAAATACAGTATAAATTCAGTATGTATCTTCCGCTATGTCAAAATTGTGCATGGTATGTACACTAAGTGTATTAAACATTAGGAACACCTTCCTAATATTGAGTTGCATCCCTTTTGCCCTCAGAACAGCCTCAATTCGTCGGGTCATGTACCCTACAAGGTGTCAAAAGCCTTCCACAGGCCCATGATGACTCCAATGCTTCCCACAGTTGTCAAGTTGGCTGGATGTCCTTTGGGTGGTGGACCATTCTTGATACATACAGTAAACTGTTGAGCATGAAAAACCCAACAGCATTGCAGTTCTTGACACACTCAAACCGGTCGCCTGGCACCAACTACCATACCCCGTTCAAAGGCACTTAACTTTTGTCTTGCCCATTCACCCTCTGAATGGCACACATACACAAACTTTAACCTGTCTCCTCTCCTTTATCTACACTGTTAGATTTAACAGGTGACATCAATAAGGGATCATAGCTTTCACCTGGTCAGTCTGTCATGAAAAGAGCAGGTGTTCCTAATGTTTTATAGCTGAAGCTCTAACATCCCTGTCTTCCATAACAACAGCGGACTCCTCATTTGCGGCAATGGCTGGTGAAGAGAAGCCAGCACTCCATCACAGCAGAGGCAGGAGCCAACACAGCTCCAGCGGCAGCTACAGTCCCCAACGCGGCCACCAATCGGATCCTCGGCCGGTGGCTGTTGGGCTGCAGTGGACTGGTGGTCGGGGCAGTGGTGTTGGGAGGTGTCACAAGGTAATGCAACACATCATGGAAGTGAAGCAGTGTGTTATGTACTGTAGTTGTAACCACATTGGATGGATCTTCAGTGTTCAAGGGAATTACAACAGAGTATGTGTCTACTTTGATTTAATGCGAGATGAAAAATGGCTCTTGTTATTGATCCTGCAGGATAAATGCCTTACTTGGAGCTGCAAGACCTAGCTAGTTAGCTGTAATGTGTGTGAAGACGACTCTCACTGCAATCACATCTCCTACGTAATGTATTGTATTGAGAGATACTGTTTGTGTTTGTTCTCCCTATCCAGGCTGACGGAGTCAGGGCTCTCCATGGTAGACTGGCACCTGGTGAGAGAGATGAAGCCTCCTCAGACTCGGGCCGAGTGGGAGGCTGAGTTTGCCAAGTACCGGCAGTTCCCAGAGTTCAAAATGTGAGTATGCCTGGCCTGTCTCTATCTGTCTCGATAGTTTGGCTACCTCAAAGGCTACATCAACAGAACATGTATAATTATGTTTTAAAGGGATACTGGGAGACTCTCCTGTTTTTCTACTTAGACAGAGTTTGATGAACTCGTGGATACCATTTTTTGTCTCCGCGTGCAGTATGAAGGAAGTTAGCAGTAGTTTTGCGAGCCAATGCTAACTAGTGTTAGAGCAATGACTGGAAGTCTACAGGTACGCTAGCATACTTCCTCTAACTTCCTTCATACTGCACGCAGAGACATGAAAATGGTATCCACAAGTTCATCTGACTCTGGGTAAGTAGAAAAATTTAGAATATTGCAGTATACCTTTAAGAACCTGTTTCTGACCTTTCTAAGATACTCGACAGTGGTGTGAAAACGCTCAATTTCTAGATGCCTTAAAAAAAAAAAAGGTCCTCCAAATGTCCTCGTAAGATGCTAAAGGAATGAACAATCTCAAACCATAGCGTTAGTTTTAATTTCACCTGGGAATCACTTTAGAATAGCGAGCCTTTCTGTCAAATAAGCTTGTTGCAAACTTCTTAACTTTTTTGACAACTCATCTCATTGTTGACTCACTGTCCACTCTGTGTTTCTCCAGAATGAACCATGACATGACTCTACCAGAGTTTAAGTTCATCTTCTACATGGAGTGGGGCCACAGGATGTGGGGCAGGCTGGTAGGGCTGGCCTATGTCCTCCCCACCATCTACTTCTGGAAGAAAGGCTACTTTAACAGATCTATGAAGGGACGCGCACTGGGACTCTGTGGATTTGTGTTCTTTCAGGTAAGCGAGAGAGGATGGAATGGGGGGGAGAAACAGAGAGGAAATTATAGTTCAACAAATTTATGAAGGGATGCGCACTGAGACTGTAGATTTTGTCATCTTCCAGGTAAGAGAGGATGGAATGGAGGGAGGGTTGGAGGATGAAGTGAGGGAGAGGGAGAAAGAGAAAGCGAGAGCGAGCACACGATAGTTCAACAGATGGGGACGTATACTGGGATTTGTTTTCTTCCAGGCAAACAAGGATGTGATGGAGGGTGAGAGAGGGAGTTATTTTATGCTGGCCTGTGTTGAACCTGGAATGGCCCGTCTTGCCATCGGGCGAAAGCGGGGAGGGAGGAGCGCCCTTCTCAAATCGAATAGCAATCTGCGCCGCTTGATCATGATGTCAACAAGGCAGCATGGTGCATCGTCCAGAAACGTACATCTCTTTTCCATAAAATAAATGGGTGAATTTAACTAGTTTTCATTGGGGAGGCAGATAAAGCGTGTTTATCAAAAGCAATCACTTTGCACGGGAAAACACAGAATCCTACTAATTACTACACGTGCCTAATTACGCCACTTTGTTTTGAGCCGACTTCGCCATCAGACAGAGCAGGGCAAATGGCTCACACCCGGGAGGCAGCCCGGTTCCACATCGAATGCAATCAACTTTCAGCCGGTGCAAAACACACCTACACGGGCGCCCAGGCGAGATTAATCTAACCCCCTTAGAGTGAGAGGGAAAGGATAGGTCAACAGATCTATGAAGAGAATGGAAGAGTACTGAAGCACTGTGGATTCGCAGACCTGCCAACCTGCAGGCATTTTGCGTACCATGCACACAATTTGAGGTCAAAATACGCTGGTACGAAAAACAACACTAAAATATGCAAAAATAGGCTTCTAGTTGGCACATTGGTTTTTGACTCAACCGTCTGAAGTTGGAGCTATTCAGAGGACTTGGGCGAGGCAATTTCTGTTAGTCAAGCACATAACCACAATTATTTAGTAGTTTGCTCCTTAGCTAAGGCGGCATTACGACAAAGGTAGTTAGCTACAGCGTTTAGTCAACTAAGCGAGAACACTTTCTTGCCAAACATGCTTTGATCTCTGCAACGGTAGCGAGCGCATTGATGAGTAACGTGTGGTGTTGCGATAGTTCAGTGCGCGTCGCCGCGTGAATGGAAACAGACATGGCAGAGAAAGCTGTTCCGCTAAAACCGTCCTTCAGAGAGCTATGTTAGACTGTTGAAGAGTAGTAGGTCTATGTTAGTTAATCGGTTCTTGATATAGCTGTATGTCAACAGTAGGCTGCTAATGATGTGATAATAGTCAGTTCACCAATGTCAACAAGGCATGTTGAATGAATGGTAGCCTATTAGTCAGACCTAACTTGATGGATTTGGTCAGGGATGGAGATAATGACTATATATGAAGGAGATAATGGAGATCTGAAACAAGCTTATATAGGCCTAGTTCAGTTGCTCCGTATTCCAAATAACATACAGTAAGCTAGACTACTACATTATATCCAGTAATTGAATTATTCAGTTTATATTTTCACTAGACTATCCACATAAAGACACCTATTAATTAGAATAATCATTACCCCTAAATGTAACCTAGGAAAATGTGAAAGTGTCATGGAGACCACCTTAATTTCATTTAGGATCAAACACAAGACTTGTTTGCTATAATTTAAGGCTTCAGGTAATGGCAGTTAAAAAAAGGAAAATGCTGACCACCTCCGGACCTCCCCCCTACCCAACCTTAGGCCTACATCAGCACCACCTTGTCCGAAAATCCTAGGGAGAGCCCTGATTGTACATTTAAACATATTTCTAGTTAGCTACTGAAGAGCAGCCAATTACCAAGTACCCATAACAGTCTATAGCCTATCATTCCTACTGAGGCAGTCTTCTGCCAACATCATTATTTGGCTAAAAAAGGTGCATTTGCCTATGATTTGAGCAGTGTGGGCGCGCTGTCGTGGGGAGCAGCCACAATGCTGAAGTGGTTGGCAGGTCTGGATTTGCCTCTTCCAGATGATACAGTACACAAATGTTCTGGGACTGTCTGAGAACCTAAGCTGTACATGGCTTCTAAAATGGTTTCCCCATCACTTTCCATTTCCCTCCTGTAGGGCCTCCTGGGCTGGTACATGGTGAAGAGTGGTCTGGAGGAGAAGCCAGAGTCCTATGATGTCCCCCGAGTCAGTCAGTATCGCCTGTCTGCTCACCTAGGGTCAGCTCTGCTGCTCTACTGTGCTAGTCTATGGACTGGACTCACACTGATGGTTGAGCCGCACAAGGTACTGGAACGCGCGCACACACACACACACACACACACACACACACACACTTCAAAGCTCAAACTTTGCATCTTTTTAATCACGTTTTTAATCCGTGTCCCCTCCCCCTATTCTTAGTTGGCTAATACTAAACGTCTGAACCAGCTGAGGAGGTTTGCTAAGGGCACTGTAGGATTGGTCTTCCTCACCGCACTCTCAGGTAGTAGTGTGTGTGTCTGTGGTGTGTGTGTGTGTGTGGTGTGTGTCTGTGTGTGGGTGTGTGCCATAGGGGCGGTTGTACAGGTTTGGATGTGGATTGTGTATATACAGTGCCTTTGCAAAGTATTCAGACCCCTTGACTTTTTCCACATTTTGTTAGGTTACAGCCTTATTCTAAAGTCGATTAAATTCGTTTTTTCCCCTCATCAATCTACACACAATATCCCTTAATGACAAAGCAAAAACAGGATTTTAGAAATGTTAGCTAGTTTATTACAAATAAAAAAACTGAAATATTACGTTTACATAAGTTTTCAGACCCTTTACTCAGTACTTTGTTGAAGCACCTTTGGCAGCAATTACAGCCTCGAGTCTTCTTGAGTATGACGCTACAAGCTTGGCACATCTGTATTTGGGGAGTTTCTCCCAATTCTTCTCTGCAGATCCTCTCAAGCTCTGTCAGGTTGGATGGGGAGCGTTGCTGCACAGATATTCGATCAGGTTTAAGTCCGGGCTCTGGCTGGGCCACTCAAGAACATGCAAGGACATGCGAAGCCACTCCTGTGTTGTCTTGGCTGTGTGCTTAGGGTCGTTGTCCTGTTGGAAGGTGAACCTTCGCCCCAGTCTGATGTCCTGAGAGCTCTGGAGCAGGTTTTCATCAAGGATCTCTCTACTTTGCTCCATCTTTGCCTCGATCCTGACTAGTCTCCCAGTCCCTGCCGCTGAAAAACATCCCCACAGCATGATTCTGCCACCACCATGCTTCACCGTAGGGATGGTGCCAGGTTTTCTCCAGACGTGGCACTTGGCATTCAGGCCAAAGAGTTCAATCTTTGTTTCATCAGACCAGAGAATTTTGTTTCTCATGGTCTGAGTCTTTAGGTGCCTTTTTACTGAGGAGTGGCTTCCATCTGGCCACTCTACCATAAAGGCCTGATTGGTGGAGTGCTACAGAGATGGTTTTCCTTCTAGAAGGTTCTTCCATCTCCACAGAGGAACACTAGAGCGCTGTCAGAGTGACAATCGGGTTATTGGTCACCTCCCTGACCAAGGCCCTTCTCCCCCGATTGCTCAGTTTGGCTGGGCGGCCAGCTCTAGGAAGAGTCTTGGTGGTTCCAAACTTTTTCCATTTAAGAATGATGGAGGCCACTGTGTTCTTGGGGACCTTCAGTGCTGCAGAAATGTTTTGGTACCCTTCCCCAGATCTGTGTCTCGACACAATCCTGTCTTGGAGCTCTACGGACAATTCCTTCGACCTCATGGCATGTTTTTTGCTCTGACATGCACTGTCAACTGTGGGACCTTATATACACAGGTGTGCCTTTCCAAATCATGTCCAGTCAATTGAATTGACCGCAGGTGGACTCCAATCAAGTTGTAGAAACATCAAGGATGATCAATGGAAACAGGATGCACCTGAGCTCAATTTCGAGTTTCATAGCAAAGGGTCTGAATACTTATGAAAATAAGGTATTTCTGTTTAAAAAATGTAATACATTTGCAAACATTTCTAAAAACATCATTATGGGGTATTGTGTGTAGATTGCTGAGGATTTTTATTTATTTAATCCATTTTAGATTAAGGCTGTAACGTAACAAAATGTGGAAAAAGTCAAGGGGTCTGAATACTTTCCGAAGGCACTGTAACTTGTAAGGCTGTGACGATACCAGTATCGCCATATTTTTTCCATGGCAAAAATGAAAACACGATTTTGGTCCTTTATGTAAAACATTGTGTGCTAAAGCTTGGAAAATGAATAAATGTGATTCTGGATGACAACATTAAGATGTTGTTTCCAACATTAGGGCTGTTTTCCTAAATAAATATAATCTGTTTTGTTTAGGGAAAATAAATAAATGTGACTCTGGATGACAACCGGGCGGCAGGTAGCCTAGCGTTGGGCCAGTAACCGAAAGGTTGCTGGTTTGAATCCCCGAGCCAACTAGTTAAAAAATCTGTTGCTTTGGATAAGAGTGTCTGCAAAATGACAAAACATTTCAATGTAAACATAATGATGTTTCCAACATTACGGCTGTTTTCCTAAAGACGTTAAATCCGCTTCATGTTTTGTTTCCTTGACACAATACTAATGCGTATCGCCATACTGGTATTGTCCCGTCCCTAGTTTTGTTTCCTTGCCACGATACTGATATCAACCCAGCCCCAATAACCCTAACATGACTGACCATGATGTGTGTCTGTGTTTGTGTGTTACAGGTGCGTTTGTAGCAGGGCTGGATGCTGGGTTGGTGTATAACTCGTTCCCTATGATGGGAGACAGATGGATCCCTGACGACGTACTGGCTTTTTCTCCAACACTCAAGAACTTCTTTGAGAACCCCACCACTGTTCAGTTTGACCACCGAGTTCTGGTACATAACGCACTCAGCCTCATTTTATTAATCTGATTTCTGTTATTTGTGTAGATTATTGACTTCGCACTTCATACCTTTTACTAAACAAAGCGGCTTACGTATGGGTGGACCCAGTGGCAATCGAACCCACAATCCTGGCGTTGCAAGCGCCGTGCTCTACCACCTGAGGCACAGCTGACCACTAAACAATAACTCTTACTCCCTCCCTCTCCCTCCAGGCGATCTCGTCTCTGACGGCCATCACAGGTCTCTATATGTTCTCCAGGAGGATGATGCTGCCTAGGAGAGCTAAGATTGCCATCTCCTGCCTTACAGCTATGGCCTATGCACAGGTACACACGCGCGTACACACAGTACTTCATACACCAATGCTTTCTTTTACACTGATGCTTTTAAATCCGTGAGGGAAGAGTGCTGATGGGAATCAGTATGTACAATGGGTGTTAATTTCCTCTGTGACTGTTTGTCCCTGTGTTTCCATCCTCAGGTTGCCCTGGGCATCAGTACCCTGCTTCTTTACGTGCCCACTCCCTTGGCAGCGACCCACCAGTCAGGCTCTGTCGCCCTGCTCTCATTGGCCATCTGGGTCCTCGCAGAGCTCAGGAAGGTGGCCAAGTAGATGCCCACTTCGCTATGACTCGAACAGGCCTCGAGAGACAAACCAGCTCATGGAAAGAGATTTTAAAAAAAGAATATTCACAAGATGCTCAAGGAAAAAAGAGAAGAGAGGAGAGAAGCATTCTGTAAAACAATGGATTGGGTCTTTTGATACCATGTTGGGGAACTTCTATGTTGCAAAGCTGCAAGCTCATTCCATGTGTTTGAAGTTATCATAACATTAGAATTCAATTATATAAAGGTTGTTTTGATTGATGCAATGGCAAGAATGTTCTAGCTTATTTCACTACATTTTCCCCCTGCAGTGGTTGGGCCAGGAGGTAAGTCACCTGTAGTTCAGAAATCTCACTGAAAGACATTACTGTAGCTAACAGACTTCATGCAAGTTGACGACCAATGTCATTTCAATGTCACTAGATAGTGACTATTTATGAACTGAAATTGAGCGAACAGTGTAGAATTTGAGCAACCAGGAAGTCAGATCAGCTTTCCAAGTTTGAAAACAGATGCCGCTCTGGCGGGAGAAATCAATAGGCGAGTGTCACACTAATTCCACTATTAGTGCCAGACATATTATGGAAATATTCTGAAATTATAATGCAAAAATTCTAAAACGAAATCCTATGTTAGAACTTTTTCATGCCTTCAGAAAGTATTCATACCCCTTGACTTAATCCACATTGTTGTTACAGCCTGAATTTCAAGATGGATAAACATTTTTTTTTAAAGAACTCACCCATCAACAGTGCATTCGGAAAGTATTCAGACCCCTTCACTTTTTCCAAATTTTGTTACGTTACAGCCTTATTCTAAAATTGATTAAATTGTTTTTTTTTGCTCTTCTACACACAATACCCCATAATGACAGCAAAAACAGGTTTAGACATTTTTGCAAATGTATATTTAAAAAAAAAACTATCACATTTCGTAAGTATTCAGAGGAAGCTGAATATTGGGAGTTTAACATTCTCTGCAGATCCTCTCAAGCTCTGTCAGGTTGGATGGGGAGCGTCGCTTCACAGCTATTTTCAGGTCTCTCCAGAGATGCTCGGGCTGGGCCACTCAAGGACATTCAGAGACTTGTCCCGAAGCCACTCCTGCGTTGTCTTGGCTGTGTGCTTAGGGTCGTTGTCCTGTTGAAGGTGAACCGTTGCCCCAGTCTGAGGTCCTGAGCACTCTGGAGCAGGTTTTCATCAAGGATCTTTCTGTACTTTGCTCCATTCATCTTGACCAGTCTCCCAGTCCCTGCCGCTGAAAAACATCCCCCACAGCATGATGCTGCCACCACCATGCTTCACCGTAGGGATGGTATTGGCCAGGTGATGAGCGGTGCCTGGTTTCCTCCAGACGTGACACTTGGCATTCAGGCCAAAGAGTTCAATCTTGGTTTTATCAGACCAGAGATTCTTGTTTCTCATGGTCTGAGAGTCCTTTTGGTGCCTTTTGGCAAACTCCAAGTGGGCTGTCATGTGCCTTTTACTGAGGAGTGGCTTCCGTCTGGCCACTCTACCATAAAGGCCTGATTGGTGGAGTGCTGTAGAGATGGTTGTCCTTCTGGAAGGTTCTCCCATCTCCACAGAGGAACTCTGGAGCTCTGTCAGTGACCATTGGGTTCTTGGTCACCTCCCTGACCGAGGCCCTTCTCCCCATATTCCTCAGTTTGACCGGGCGACCAGCTCTAGGCAGAGTCTTGGTGGTTCCAAACTTCTTCCATTTAAGAATGATGGAGGCCACTGTGTTCTTGGGGACCTTCAGTGCTGTAGAAATGTTTTGGTACCCTCCCCCAGATCTGTGCCTCGACACAATCCTGTCTCGGAGCTCTACGGACAATTCCTTCGACCTCATGGCTTGGTTTTTGCTCTGACATGCACTGTCAACTGTGGGACCTTATATAGACAGGTGTGTGCCTTTCCAAATCATGTCCAATCAATTGAATTTACCATAGGTGGTCTCCAATCAAGTTGTAGAAACATCTCAAGGATGATCAATAGAAACAGGATGCACTTGAGCTCAATTTCGAGTCTCATAGCAAAGGGTCTGAATACTTATGGAAATAAAGTGTTTTTAATTTTTTATACATTTGCAAACATTTCTAAAAACCTGTTCACTTTGTCAATATGGGGAATTGTGTGTAGATTGATGTTTTATTTATTTCATCAATTTTAGAATAAGGCTATAACGTAAAGTGGAAAAAGTGAAGGGGTCTGAATACTTTCCGAATGCACTTTACACACATTACCCCATAATGACAAACTGAAAACATGTTTTTAGAATTTTTTGGCAAATTGATTGAAAATTAAATACAGAAATCTAGTTTACATAAGTATTCACACCCCTTTCCTATGACACTCCAAGTTGAGCTCCGGTGTATTGAATTTCCTTTGATCATCCTTGATTGGAGTCTACCTGTGGCTTATTCAATTGGTTTGGACATGATTTAGAAACACACCTGTCTATATAAGGTCCCACAGTTGACCGTGCATGTCCAAGGATCTGTCCGTAGAGCTCTGAGACCACCCAAGATTTACGGTCCAACAGGACAATGACCTCAAGCATACAGCTAAAGCAACGCTGGAATCGCTTCAGAACAAGAATGTCCAGTCCATGAGTGGCCCAGCCAAAGCCCATACTTGAATTCCATTGAAAATCGGTGGAATGACTTGACGATTGCTGTAAACTACCGCTCCCCATCTAACTTAACAGAGCTTGAGAAAATCTGCGAGGGAGAAAAATCCCCAAATCCAGATGTGCAAAACTGATAGACTTACCCAAGATGACTTGCAAAGCTGTAATCGCCGCCAAAAATGCTTCTACAAAGTATTGACTCTGGGTGTGAATACTTTTGCTAAAATTTCTAAAAACTTGTTTTCACTTTGTCATTATGGGGTATTGTGTGTAGATGGGTGAGGAAAAAAATATATTTAATCTATTTTGAATTCTGGCTGTAACACAAAATGTGGAAAAGTCAAGGGGTATGAATACTTTCTGAAGGCACTGTACCTTCAATCAAGGTACATAAACTGATCATTTTAAAGGCTTGCATACAATAATTACATAATACTAACGGCTACATAGGAAGTGTGTGTGTGTGTGTGCCTTTTGCTTCTGAAAAGGACAGGACATGAATGCTTTGGACTTATTGAATTTCTCATTCTTTGACTTCTGTCTGTCTCTGCTGATCAATGCACTGCCTCTTGATTTTCTGTATTTTCATACTGAGGTGAATATAAATGCTTGAGGTAACCACAGATCTAGGATCAGTTACCCAATCCCCAATCCTTACCTGAACGATTGAGGCATACTGACATATCTGAGCCTGGAACAGTGGCTGGAGGGCAATCTTTGTACATTAAATAATTTGTTATATATTGCTTTAGGACACGTGTTGAATTGTCATTGACTGTGTGTGATAAATACATCTGGAAATCTTGAGTTTGTTTTGTTACTCGAGATGTCTTGTCTTCTTTAAATAAAGGCAATATTTAACCATCTCAGTATTTTCAGAGCTTCATAATTCCACACTTGTAGCTGTTTCATTCTCAGTGGACACAGTTTAGGAATAGGCTGTCGTTACATAGTGAAAGCCAGGCAAACTGCGAATGAAGCAAAATGATCACAAAAAACCCATCACACAAGAAGATGCATAGCAATGTGATTTGTATTGTCTCTGTACAAAATATACACATCTTAAATATGCAATGCAACCAGTTGAGGCTAGCTAAATAACTAGACACGGTCAGTAACAACAGGTTAGTAGGTAACATTGTTTTATGACACAGTACATGCGAGTATAGACAGGTTTCACTGGTGGTCAGGGCAGGAATTCACCTACGGCACCTGCAAGGGGACAATCGGAGCCAGACCACTCACCCCCGCCCCCACAAAAAAGAGATGTGAATATGTGAAAACATTCAAGTGGATAAAATGGAGATGTAAAGAAATCAGAAGTTACAAATACTGTATTGGTGTTGGAAGAAAGTTCAGGTTATTACAACAAGGGTGTTAACCGATTAATAATACACTCTAGGTGGAAGTTGGCCTTAACCAGAGTTCTAGGATCAGTTATCCTACTAAATCCTAACCTTAATCAGTATGTGACTGTAGGAATATTGGAGTCTGGGCCAGTGGGTTAGGGGTAACTTTTATCTACCCCCAGAAGCAGGTAAAAGAGGGTAGAATACGGACATTATTGCTTATGCCACTGTTGTTGTTTTATTTGATCCACCTGATGGCATATTATATATATTTGTAGGGTTGAGAGTGAAGTAATTTGATGAAAGACACAGGAAGTAGTTGATGGGTACAGGTAATGTTATCTTACAAAAGATCAGCGTTCTATTCAGAACCACGAGGCAGGCGTTCCACCCCATTTCAAACAGCCTTTTTTTTAACACCCAGTAGGAAACGGCATCAAGTTGGCAAAGAATTGGGAAATGGTACTATTCACTCGACAAATCTTCACTCTCTCACACTGTACACACAAAAACACTCATACTCTCTCCTTTCCACTCCAATCTCTCTTTCTCTCGTTCTCCGCTCTCTCACATTTCACAAATGTGTCTATTTATAGCCTGATATAACTGAGGGTGGCTTTAAATACTTCAGTTGGCATGCCTGACTCTTAGGAAACATTACTGGTGTCTTCATACCCACCTACCCACATGCATACACAAACGCGCAAGCACAAACACGCACACAACTGTTTTTACGTAGACATGTAACAAGAGGCTTAATTTGGATTCTGAAGGAAGTGAAATTGTCCTTGACATGTTGCTGCTCTTTCATGGTCGATCTAAATAGAAATGCTTTCAGTTTCAGCTGTATGATCAGTATAATGAAAAATAGGCATCATATAATGTATTACAGTATTTGATGAGCCAGCCATTTCCATTTGAACTTCAATTCCCATAATTCACTGCATCAGTTAGTCACCTGTAAATACAGAAAGGGGTCTACGGGAGCCTAGATAGTCCAAGCAGCATGTTCATCAATATAGTGCCACAGACTGTTCAGTAGTTCTTGACCACAGGGTTATTGGAAGAGGTACAACAGTCAGCATACACCTACAGCTAAGGTAACAGGTATAAAGGCCAGAGGGTAAGTTAGTGTTAATACGAAGGAGGTCTCATATGGGGTTGAAATCTGAATGGATTCCTACCGGAGACGGGAATGACAAGTACAGCCTCTCTCTCACATGCACGCAAGCACGTACACACACATACACATTCGCACACACACACGGAGCGAGGCACCTGTGGATGACTCTAGGAACAGCAGACAGACAACAGACAGGCTATAGTATTTATGTAAATATGTATAGGTTATTATTGGAGACATCATCATGCGATATTAAAATCAGTCCCTTATTGAATTATATGTCTGAACCCTGTGTAGCTCAGTTGGTAGAGCATGGTGCTTGCAGCGCCAGGGTTGTGGGTTTGATTCCCACGGGGGGGCAGTATGAAAATGTATGCACTCACTAACTGTAAGTCGCTCTGGATAAGAGCGTCTGCTAAATGACTAAATGATTATGTATTTTCTGTTTGTGAAGAGTCTCATCCATCAGATCCACAGTCCCTTCTGTTCCGTTGTGTCCTTTTGTCCACTAAGTGGCGCTAGTTACCTCTGTTTTAATGACAGAGGTGTCAGGAGTCCAGCTGCTCTGGTAGAAGTAACCTTCCACAGATCTAGGATCAGCTGAACCACTCCTGACCCTAACCTTAACCATTAGGTGGGGATATGCAAAACTGACCTTAGATCAGTGAGTAGGGGGACTTAATCCTATGTTGAGTCCAGCCAGCAGGCTACAGCAGCTTTCTCGGAAACAGGAGTGTTAAATAATAAAATGGTTAATGAAACGGGTGTATTCAATGAGGCAAAATCATCACGAACGTTGCAGATAGACGAATAGAGCTGACACGATTGACTCCCTATTACACACGACAGGCAATCAATCTGTTCTACAAAACACATTTCTATCTGAACGTTCTGTAACGTTGCACATTCCTGAACAGATCCTTGGTGTGGTTGTGGGTGTGGATCAGAGTCTATGAGCCAGCCCCTCTCTTCTCTGTGTCTCTGGAAGTGATGAAGGGTTGGATAAGAGGAGGCGCCTCCTATTGGCTTGGAGTGGGTGCGGAGAGAAAGGAGCTAGAAGGAGGGGTCAGGATTTAGGGGGGGGGCTGAGGGTCAATGTCCAGGGCCCTCTCAGAGCCCCCCCACAACACACAAATGCACGCACACGCACAAACATGCGCACACACACACAAATACACGTGCACACTCTCACACACACCTCCCCTGTCCTCCAGCCCCTTTTCTATATCAGAGGCTCCTAGATGACGTTGTCAAACAGCTGCATGGACTGCATGATGTTCTCATCCTGAAGAGAGTGAGAGAGGGATGGAGAGAGAAGGAGAGATAGAAATCTTAGGTATAGAGAGACAACAAGAACAGCAAGTTTCCAGAGGCACAATGAAACCCTTTTTGTTTCAGCTTCTTGTTCTTTCTCAAGGGAGTCTGATTCCCTAAAACAGAGACGACAGTAGAGGTGACCCTCAGAGGACTCTGATCAGACAGTGTTCTCTCTCTCTCTCTCTCTCTCTCTCTAAATTGCATTTTACATGGGTCACAACACACTTTACAAAGGAACAAAACAATGTTTGAAAATGGGGTAACAGTAACTGTCCTCAAACCAAACCTTGGGGATCGCCCCAATGAACCTTAGTGAGATCTGTGGATTCATTGGTCAGTTACACAAATGGAACCGGTCTGACCAAAAAATTACTTTAAATAAAAACACACAACCTACCTTTTGGCATGACTCGATGAACTCATCAATAGTGACCACCCCGTCATTATTACGATCCATTTTCTAGAAGGGAGAAAGGGGAGGAAAAGGGGGAGAAATGTCAATCAGTGCCTCTGGAGCAGTGCCTCTGGAGCAGTGCCTCTGGAGCAGTGCCTTGCTCAAGGGCTTGTCCTAAAGTATTGGATTTGATAAACGGAAAGTGTCTGTTGACCTGGAAGAAGCTCTCCACATGTTCTCTGGGCGCCTCGTCCTGCATACAGGGATATGTGTACTTCCCCATCATATCATAGATAGACTTCATTATATCCATCATCTCCTACAGAGATACAGAGAGGGAGAGAGAAAGAGAGAGAGAGATGACACAGGGTATACTGTCATAGCACAAGATCAGTCAATCACTCTCCAATCTGAGATTGATTGTAAAGTTGAGAACTGTCAATTTTAGAATATACTTTAGATTTGTGTCCAGATTTCTCTATCGAGGCTTAGGTCAAGTGTAAGTGATTTGCTTATTTTTTACATTTTATAAAAGTACAGATATCATACACTGTAGTTGAGGAAGCCTGGGAATGTTATGCTGCTTTAAAAGATAATAAACTTGTTTTTTTGGTGGGGAGGGGAAAACTGAAAATGTATTAACCGCATGGTGATTTCATCATGGAAGGCCAAAACTCCCTCCCACCAAAACAGGCTGAAATTTCAGGCTGTCTTTTCAAACAGCTCTTACACTAAATGGGCATTATCATCATTTTCACAATTGCAAAGTATTATTCCAACCTCATAGTGTGGAAATATATATAAAACATAACAAATCACATTTTTGTGAGTCAGCATGGCATTGTCCTCCAGAAAGTAGTCTCTTTACTTAAACCCAGCTAAATTCTGGGCAGCAATGTTTTTGAGAGCTGTAGCAATACTTTTGCAGTTGTCCATAGCTATATTTTTCAAAACATCCAAAGTAGCAAAGATGATCTATATACTGACCAGAGGGGTATACTACGAAGCAAGCTAGATCTACTCAGGGTTTTCTAAAGCTAACCAGTTTCTGTTAGCTTCACATTCTAGCTCAGGCTTTATCCGTATTACAATGGTAGATATTGCTCGTCCGCCTGCTGCTAACTTTAGCAGGCTTGTAACTGCACGTGCAAGTCGAACGCCAAACTCTTCATTGAGACAATGCTGAAACATCAATCCAATGGCGAGTCAGTGCCACATTTTCATCAAAATGAAAGAAAAGTTATCTTGCAAATTCAGCAGGCTATGGTGTGAAATAGGCTTTTAGAAGTGCTGTCTTTATTTTATTACTTATCATTAATGCCGTCTTTGGTGTGCTTATCAATGCACAAGCACCTTTTTACACGCCTCTATGATTTCTTATTTTTTATTAAGTCATACAAAAGTGTACATTGCGTGAAGTTTAAAATTCATTCTGTCATTACTAAATGTGTAATGTGATATATTTTAACATTACAATTTTTTTACAGAAAAAAACACCATTTGATGAATAAAATATGTCTTCCTTAAATGAAGGGGATGATGATGCAATCTTTGCAAGAGGGAGGGAATCTGATTTCATTGGTCTTCAACTTGCGGATCAGTAATTTCAATCAGGGTAAGTGAAGTTAGCCGTGAGTTAGCCTGCCCCGGAGCAGGTTAGTTCTGAAGGATTCGTTGCCATAGAAATTTACCTGGCTAAAAGGTGAGTCACTTTCGTATGACCGGTTATCCCGAGTTGAACTCAGAGTTGACCAAAGTTACCTCGCTAACTCCTCAACTAACTGCTTCATAGGATACCCCTCAGGGAAGCCCCCATTATGTTATAGACAGAAGCCTGTGACATGACAGACTAATCAGGACATTTCCAACCACCCCATTATCTCAGCCAATCATGACTAGCCAGGAAGGATCCTGTCTTTCTACCTGAATAGCTCAGTGCTTTCTCCTTGGGTAAACTAGGCTAATACAGTTGAAGTTGGAAGTTTACATACACTTAGGTTGGAGTCATTAAAACTTGTTTTTCAACCACTCCACAAATTTCTTGTTAACAAACTATAGTTTTGGCAAGTCGGTTACGACATCTACTTTGTGCATGACACAAGTAATTTTTCCAACAATTGTTTACAGACAGATTATTTAACTTGTAATTCACTGTATCACAATTCCAGTGGGTCAGAAGTTTACATACACTAAGTTGACTGTGCCTTTAAACAGCTTGGACAATTCCAGAAAATGATGTCATGGCTTTAGAAGCTTCTGATAGGCTAATTGACATCATTTGAGTCAATTGGAGGTGTACCTGTGGATGTATTTCAATGCCTACCTTCAAACTCAGTGCCTCTTTGCTTGACATCATGGGAAAATGAAAAGAAATCAGCCAAGACCTCAGAAAACAAATTGTAGACCTCCACAAGTCTGGTTCATCCTTGGGAGCAATTTGCAACAAACAGTAGTACGCAACTATAAACACCATGGGACCACACAGCCGTCATACCGATCAGGAAGGAGACACGTTCTGTCTCCTAGAGATGAACGTACTTTGGTGTGAAAAGTGCAAATCAATCCCAGAACAACAGCAAAGGACCTTATGAAGATCCTAGAGGAAACAGGTACAAAAGTATCTATATCGACATAACCTGAAAGGCCGCTCAGCAAGGAAGAAGTCACTACTCCAAAACCGCCATAAAAAAGCCAGACTACGGTTTGCAACTGCATATGGGGACAAAGATCATACTTTTTGTAGAAATATCCTCTGGTGTGATGAAACAAAAATATAACTGTTTGGCCATAATGACCATTCTTATGTTTGGAGGAAAAAGGGGGTGGCTTGCAAGCCGAAGAACACCATCCCAACCGTGAAGCACGGGGGTGGCAGCAACATGCTGTGGGGGTGCTTTGCTGCAGGAGGGACTGGTGCACTTCACAAAATAGATGGCATCACGAGGAAGGAAAATGATGTGGATATATTGAAGCAACATCTCAAGACATCAGTCAGGAAGTTAAAGCTTGGTCGCAAATGGGTCTTCCAAATGGACAATGACCCCAAGCCTACTTCCAAAGTTGTGGCAAAACGGCTTAAGGACAACAAAGTAAAGGTATTGGAGTGGCCATCACAAAGCCCTGACCTCAATCCTATAGAACATTTGTGGGCAGAACTGAAAAAGCGTGTGTGAGCAAAGAGGCCTACAAACCTGACTCAGTTACACCAGCTCTGTGGGGAGGAATGGGCCAAAATTCACCCAACTTATTGTGGGAAGCTTGTGGAAGGCTACCCGAAACGTTTGACCCAAGTTAAACAATTTAAAGGCAACGCTACCAAATACTAATTGAGTGCATGTATACTTCTGACCCACTGGGAATGTGATGAAAGAAAAAAAAGCTGAAATAAATAATTCTCTCTACTATTATTCTGACATTTCACATTCTTAAAATAAAGTGGTGATCCTAACTGACCTAAGACAGGGAATTCTTACTAGGATTAAATGTCAGGAATTGTGAAAAACTGAGTTTAAATGTATTTGGCTAAGGTGTATGTAAACTTCCGACTTCAACTTTATATATATATATATATTTTCTTCATATTTACAGATCCCATACAAGTTTGTAATTAAGGCACATGAAAGTTCACATGTTCAAGAAGGTTTTCTACAAAATACAATTTAAAATATAACTATTTTTTAACGGGCCTACTGTAACCGGTCACATTTAGAACACAGAAAGCTCAGAACTTAGAAGAGGAGAATCAGAATTCAGAATGGAAGGTATGTATTGTGTGTGTATGTGTGCATCTGTGTGTGTTACCTCTTTGGTGATGCAGCCGTCTTTGTTTAGGTCGTACATGTTGAAGGCCCAGTTTAGCCGGTCATTTATCGTTCCTCTCAGAATGATAGACAGACCAAACACAAAGTCCTGGGAAAGGACAGAAAAAAAGAGAAAGAGAGAGAGATTTAATGTTTGTGTGTACATTCCTCGCCACCTGTCATACCCACCAGCATTCAACATTTACCCTTTTTCCACCACTACAAGTTAATAACCATCCGTACAAGCTGTTTAAAGCTATGTATTGACATTGAGTGAGAGGAAGGACATGTATTGTGTTGTGATATCACAATATGAGTTGTCTGGTGCTATAGCATCAGCAAAGAAGATTATGTGGCTCACTGCAATACATTATATACTCACCAGTGTGTTCATCAACAATGTTTCGACCCTTAGGTTGTGTGTGTGTGTGTGTGTGTGTGTGTGTGTTGAAAAGGAGAGGAAAGGCATGTATTCTGTTACAGCTGCATATTTACAGACAGAGAGCGTTTTTCCGGACTCCCTTAGGAAGTAGACTATAGTAAAAATAGTCTTACCTCGAAACTAACTGATCCATTCTTGTTAGTGTCAAAGGCCTCAAACAGGAAATGTGCATACGCACCCGAATCTGAAAGGACAGAGATGTACAGGAATGTAACATAGAAAATATATCTGGGACGCCATCATACAAAAAATTCCTCAAACAAGTGGATAAATATATTTAGAACAAGACCCAAATACCCTTTCCTACTGTAACTTGATCAAACAAGTTGTGAGTACATAAATGTCATTTCAAACAAGGCACTTTCCACCTGTAACAAGTAGTTAAATAAACGTTCAACCTAAATATAATATCAAACACAGCCGTGTAAATGTCCTACTGTAAGTAGCACAGACATAATGTTAAAAATATATATTCTATGGGACATCACATAAATACAAATGTCACTGGTGTTAAATGTTGCTTTCCTTAATTAAATTGTCAGTTACTTTGGGGAGTATCAGATCTTTGAAATACTACATTAGAAGTCAGGGGTCAAAGGTTCAAGGGTCATTGACTCACCTCCCTGGGGGAAGAATTGGGAGTAGATGGTTTTAAAGGTTTCCTCATTCACCACTCCACTCGGACACTCCTACAAACAACAACACAGAAAATAACAGGATCAGAGTCAGATTGCAAGTCTGCTGCCATCCATATACTTCTACTATTATATATCAAAACAGCTTAGCTTTAGGAAAAGCTCTTGAAAGCTCTTGTAACCCCTGTAGAGAACTTGTAGTTTCCTCCCCTTTCCCAACCCCCATCCTCAGCCCCAGGCTTCTAACATCCCATATCTCCATCCCCATACCCTCTCCTCCCCGCATCCCCAGACTCACATTCTTGAAGCCCCTGTAGAGAACTTGCAGTTCCTTCTTGGTGAACTTGGTCTGCTCCTGTAGTTTGTCCAGACCCTCTGGTCGATGGCACACGGTGGACAACTCAAAGTCATCTTCTACACTGTCTGTGGGACAGAGAGAGATACTGTATGTTAGATATACCTGTAGGCTACTCCTACAGGTGCCTGCCTGGCACACCTTTTAATTGGTACTAGTAATAATATTAGTGTTAAAAACATAACCAACTACACTGACTGTACAAAGCAGGAGGAACACCTGCTCTTTCCATGACATAGACTAGCCAGGTGAAAGCTATAATCCCTTATTGATGTCACTTGTTAAATCCACTTCAAATCAGTGTAGATGAAGGGAAATAGACAGGGTAAAGAAGGATTTTTTATCCTTGAGACAATTGCGACATGGATTGTGTGTCACGATCGTCTGGGTAAGGAGTAGTAGACCAAGGCGCAGCGTGTGAAAGAAACATGACTTTATTTAATTAAAGTACTAACAAACAAACAAAACATGACTCGTGAAGTCCAACGGTTAACATACCGACACGGAACAAAAACCCACAACACCCAAAGGAAAACATACAGATTAAATATGGCTCCCAATCAGAGACAACCAGCCGACAGCTGACACTCGTTGCCTCTGATTGGGAGTCATACAGGCAAACATAGAAACAGAACAACTAGAATACCCAACATAGAAAACGAACACATAGAATGCACACACCCTGGCTCAACATATAGAGTCCCCGAGCCAGGGTGTGACAGTACCCCCCCCTAAAGGCGCGGACTGCGACCGCGTCTAAACACCCCAAACAGGGGAGGGCTGGGTGGGCATTCCTCCTCGGAGGCGGCTCCGGCTCCGGCTTTGACCACCACCCCTCCATACTACCCCCGTAGCACCCCTGGTCCGGTCTGACCCCGCTGGCTGGATCTGGACTGGACATTGACGGAGCGGATTGCTTACGCTCCGTTGTGGAGCAGCTGACCGGTCTTACCAGGCTGACGACTCGCACCCCCGGGCTTGGTGCGAGTAGCAGGAACGGGCTGAACCAGGCTGACGACTCGCACCCCTGGCTTGGTGCGAGTGGCAGGAACAGGCTGGACCAGGCTGGCAACTCGCTCCCCTGGCTTGGTGCGAGTGGCCGGAACAGACCGGGCCGGGCTGGCGACTCGCACCCCTGGCTTGGTGCGAGTGACAGGAACAGGCCGGGCCGGGCTGGCGACGCGCACCGTAGGTTTGGTGCGAGTGGCAGGAACAGGCCGGGCCGGGCTGGCGACGCACACCGTAGGTTTGGTGCGTGGAGCAGGGACAGGCCGGGCTGGGCTGGCGACGCACCCCGTAGGCTTGGTGCGTGGAGCAGGGACAGGCCGGGCTGGGCTGGCGACGCACACCGTAGGTTTGGTGCGTGGAGCAGGGACAGGCCGGGCTGGGCTGGCGACGCACACCGTAGGTTTGGTGCGTGGAGCAGGGACAGGCCGGGCTGGGCTGGCGACGCACACCGTAGGTTTGGTGCGTGGAGCAGGAACAGGCCGGGCAGGGCTGGCGACGCACCCCCGTAGGCTTGGTGCGTGGAGCAGGGACAGGCCGGGCTGGGCTGGCGACGCACACCGTAGGTTTGGTGTGTGGAGCAGGGACAGGCCGGGCTGGGCTGGCGACGCACACTGTAGGTTTGGTGCGTGGAGGCAGGGACAGGCCGGGCTGGGCTGGCGACGCACACCGTAGGTTTTGGTGCGTGGAGCAGGAACAGGCCGGGCAGGGCTGGCGACGCACACCGTAGGTTGGGTGGCGTGGAGCAGGAACAGGCCGGGCTGGGGCTGGCGACGCACCCCGTAGGCTTGGTGGCGTGGAGCAGGGACAGGCCGGGCTGGGCTTGGCGACGCACACCGTAGGTTTGGTGCGTGGAGCAGGGACAGGCCGGGCTGGGCTGGCGACGCACACCGTAGGTTTGGTGCGTGGAGCAGGGACAGGCCGGGCTGGGCTGGCGACGCACCCCGTAGGCTTAGTGCGTGGAGCAGGGACAGGCCGGGCTGGGCTGGCGACGCACACCGTAGGTTTGGTGCGTGGAGCAGGGACAGGGCCGGACCGTACTGGGAACACACACCACTGGCTTTAAACGGGGATCAGGAACGGGCCGGACCAGACTGGCAATACACCTCAGTCCCTCTCGCCGTGCCTCTACGACTTCCTTCCCTCCTCTCGCCAATGGCTCCCGTGGCCTTCTCTCCTCTTCTCCTATTTCGCCCTGTGGCAGCCTCCTGCTGCCCAGTCGCCCATGCCGTGTGCCCCCCCCTAAAAAATTATTGGGGGTGCCTCTCGTCCGTCCGACGATGGCACTGCTGACGCCGCTGCTCCTCTCTCGCCAGGGCCTTGATCCTACCCCAAGGTCCCTTGCCCCCGAGCATGTCCTCCCAGGACCACACTTTGCCCACCTGGGGCCATCGCCAGCCTCTCCATCTCCTTTCCTGGCGCTTCCTCCCATGACCAGACTGCCTGCTCCTGGACACGCTGCTTGGTCCTTGTATGGTGGGTTTTTCTGTCACGATCGTCTGGGTAAGGAGTAGTAGACCAAGGCGCAGCGTGTGAAAGAAACATGACTTTATTTAATTAAAGTACTAACAAACAAACAAAACACGACTCGTGAAGTCCAACGGTTAACATACCGACACGGAACAAAAACCCACAACACCCAAAGGAAAACATACAGATTAAATATGGCTCCCAATCAGAGACAACCAGCCGACAGCTGACACTCGTTGCCTCTGATTGGGAGTCATACAGGCAAAACATAGAAACAGAACAACTAGAATACCCAACATAGAAAACGAACACATAGAATGCACACACCCTGGCTCAACATATAGAGTCCCCGAGCCAGGGTGTGACATTGTGTATATGGGCCATTCAGATGGTGAATGGGCAAAACAAAATATTGAAGTGCCTTTGAACGGGGTATGGTTGTAGGTGCCAGGTGCACTGGTTTGTGTCAAGAACAGCAACGCTGCTGGGTTTTTCAAGCTCAACAGTTTCCTGTGTATATCAAGAATGGTTCACCACCCAAAGGACATCCAGCCAACTTGACAAAACTGTGGGAAGCATTGGAGTCAACATGGGCCAGCATCCCTGTGGAACACTTTCAACACCTTGTTGAGTCCATGCCCTGACGAACTGATGGGGGCGGGGGTTGTTGTGCAACTCAATATTAGGAAGGTGTTCTTAATGTTTTGTACACTCAGTGTATATCAATGTTAATGATCAACTTTTGAAATATCATTACACTACTGTAGCTTAACCTGTACATACAGCTAGATGAGTAATCGTTACATTTACATTATGTTACAATTCTCCTAAACTGAAGAGCACAAACGAAGACACGTAGCCGTCAAGTCATCAATAGAAAGCTAAAATATCAACATCACACTGTGAGATTCATGAGATTCCTGAATATCTATGGAGAGGTTAATATAGTAACCTGATGTACTCATTGATGATAACCTTCAGTGAAAGTAGTGGTAAGTAGTGGTAACCTATCGAAACAACAGTGTAATGACAAAAGCCATCAGATCTTCAACCAATATGATATGATCCTCACATTCCATCTCTCCCTCCCCATCCATTTCTCTCTCCACTCATCCCTCTCTTCCTCTATCCCAACCTCATTGCACACACAGTCAGCTGAAGACAACCATGCCCCACTCCTCCTCTCCTCCTATCCCAACAGGCATAGCATGGGTGACTGTCTGTCCCCATCTCACCTCTGCACATCAGACTCCGTCACACACCATATCAGACAAAAATACCATCATTTTCCCAGGAGACCAAAACACACAGTCCAATTATACTGAGATAGAGTATATCCAGATATATATTGTGTGTGTGTGTGTGTGTTTTTGCGTGGGTGTGTGTGTGTGCGCATTTGCGCTCCCATTTGTGTGTGTGTAGAGAGTGAATCACTTGCATTGACTGACTGAGGCGGCAACAGAAGGCGTGCAGCAGGGGAGCAGCTTGAGGAATCTCTGCTTTATAGTCTTTTTACTTTTGATGGTGGGAGTGTTACCTGTAATCACCAACCATAGCAGAGGTTAGACAGAGCAGACACAGAAACACACAGGCAGAAGAAAATCTCACAGACGCAGGCCTGCACATGCACATAAACTGACATGCAAACCCACAGCCATGCACGCATGCACGCACACACAGCATAAGCAACATGCAACGCATTGAAGCATGCGCGGCAGTCTCCCAGCGGTTGCGGTTTGGTTCGCTGACCTGGCTTTTCTAGGATGGGCGTCCATTCCAGCTATTAGCTTACACCACCATACATAGACCTCTACGGGGGAGTCATTGGCAAACACAAACAAATAATGAATACTCAGTATGAAGCCATAATTACATCTTCAGTCTGAACGGACTATAGGGAACTGAGGGAAGTCAATGGCAAACAGAGCAAGATAAAATGTTCTTATGAGGTAGGAATCACATTTATATAATATTTTCAGAGAGATTAAGGAAGCAATGCAGCACAATTTCTAGACAATTCCTAGACTACCATATGGTAAGCAGTTGAGGGCAATTCCACGATAACGGAATTGCGCTGAGACTCAGATTTGTCAGTTAAAATGTATGCCAAACAAAAAACATTGATTTAAAAGTTGAACAAACCATACAACTCTATGCATAAGGACTACCTTTAACAATTTACACTGAACATTTTACAAAAACACATTTACTGCAAGAACAGTGCAGATTAAAAATTTGGTACCAGAATTTCAGTAAAATCTCCCTGTTTTATGTGTCCACGTTTTCCAAAAATTAAGATTCAACCATGTCAGCGGGAAGAATGTAGTGTCAGCTATGACATGACACATTGACTATGAAAAATACTATTTTGGTTATTGAACTACAGTAAGTGAAGTGGGTTTACACACGGTAACGGAATTTCATCATGGGTCCCTGATCTGTACTACATAGAAATGCATAATGATGGATATTAATATAATTCTCTTCATGGTGATAGGTACACAAAATTATAAATATTCAATATCCTCCTTTGCATATTTGGGTATTATTCTACACACTGGCTATTATTTTTATGAACTTTGCCCCAAAACAAGACTACATTTGGTTGATCCGGACCAGACCAAATCTGAACCAATCATAGATGTCTATGTTTTACAAGTTTGGACAACAAAGTAAAGCACAGTAGAGCTCCGTAGAGTACAGCACAGAACAGTAGAGTAGAGTTCAGTACAGTACAGTAGAGTTCAGTTCAGTTCAGTGAACCTAAACATTTTATTAATTTTTTGTCATTTAGCAGACGCTCTTATCCAGAGCGACTTATAGTTAGTGAGTGCATACATTTTCATACTGGCCCCCCGTAGGAAATGAACCCACAACCCTGGCATTGCAAGTGCCATGCTCTACCAACTGAGCTACACGGGACTATAAACTTGTGAACCCAAACTTGGTTTGTGAATACTATGATTTCCTATTGTAGCCAATTGAATTGCAGAAATTCCGTTACATTTACATTTTAGTCATTTAGCAGACGCTCTTATCCAGAGCGACTTACAGTTAGTGAGTGCATACATTATTTTATTTTTCATACTGGCCCCCCGTGGGAATTGAACCCACAACCCTGGCGTTGCAAACACCATGCTCTACCAACTGAGCTACATCCCTGTCAGCCATTCTCTCCCCTACCCTGGACGACGCAGGGCCAATTATGCGCCGCCCCATGGGTCTCCCGGTCGCGGCCGGCTACAACAGAGCCTGGATTCGAACCTTAGACTACTGCGCCACTCGGGAGGTTACAGATTTGGTAACAGAATTCTGAGTTTGAATCACTTAATAATTAATTAACAAAATTGATAACAGTAAAACACTAACATATTGATAGTTCTACCTTTACTTGTTACTTCTGTGAACTTTCATTATTCTAAAATATCTTAAAGATATGTTGTTTTTTGGTAACGGAATTTCAAGGCACAAGGCAATGTTTCTTAAACTTATTGAAGGCAGAAATGTACATTTTTTGAATATTTAAAACATGCAATCTACTTGCAGTGAAGCCGCTCAACATCTACATCACATTAGTCATCTAACAGACTCCCATCCAGAGCGACCCACAGAAGCAACCAGGGTCAACGCCCTGCTCAAGGGCACGTCGTCAAAAACAGGGACCCGAACCAGCGACCCATCAGCCACCGCCCCAAGCTCCCAACCGCCAGGCCACCAGCCCTCCAAGATCCCCCCCACAGTTCACCAAGAGCTGCCCCCCACCCACAAGACCCCCCCCCCCCCCCAAGCCCCTGTCCCCCAAGCCCTCCCCCAACAAGCCCCCGTCCCCCAAGCCCCAAGCCCCCTGTCCCCAAACCCCGTCCCCAAGCCCCCTGTCCCCAAGCCCCGGTCCCCCAAGCCCCCTGTCCCCAAGCCCCCGTCCCCCAAGCCCCCTGTCCCCAAGCCCCCGTCCCCCAAGCCCCTAAATATACTTATACTAAATATAAGTGTTGATATTAGCTGGCAGGGGACTTTACTTCAACATTATTACATTTTGATGTATTTCTAATACATTTTAATACTTTTTCTGGTAGATGTTTTCTAAGCCCCCTTTTTCATTTGTTTGACCAGAAATGAAAACCTTCGCTTATTCCTAATTTTTAGGATGGAAATGGTTGAAAAATTTATATATGCCTTAATTGCTCAAAAATATGGACTCTTAGCTTTCATTTGACACCCAATTTGACATGCTCCTATGAACTTCACATGTTGGTGCTCATAGGTCCTTTTACATGAAAACGACCTTGAGCTAAAGCCCAACTCTCTAGTGCGTATATAAAATCAAGTTCACATCTGTTAGATCAAGATTCACAGGGACCTTAATCGAACGACTCAAACCTCACCAGTCCTCACATTCTCACAGAGCATAACCTATCCACTAGAACTCATCCATCAGAACTCCAGAACTAATCCATCATAACTCATCCACTAGAAATCATCCACAGAACTTCTCCATCAGAACTCATCCATCAGAACATCCGTTAGAATTCATCAATAAGAACTCATTTTTCAGAACTCATCCATCAGAATTCATCAATAAAAACTCATTTATCAGAACTCAACCATAAGAACTTATCCATCAGAACTCATCCACCAGAAATCAGCCCATGTTACTCACTACTCACCCCACCTTCACCTTATCACACAAACAGTACAAGTACAACCCAAGTACAACAATACCGTATCCTTCTGTGTCCTAAAGGTTAAGGCAGAGAGAAGAAGAGAGGGGGGACTTACTCTTGCATCTCCATGGTAACAGCAACTTCACACCTTTTAGTTGAACTCCAGCAGTCTGAGGGATGAAGGCCATGATAGAGACCAGTACAGTATAACCTTAACCCTAACTATACCAATACATTTATACACTTCTGTACTCTGTACTGTATACCAGTACTCTCTATCTATCTTACTCTTTACCTCCCTCTTTCTCCCTGTCTCTTCCTCTCTCCTGGTCTGTGCTAGTCATTGGGAGTGTGTTGGCGTCACTTGAAGGCTGACCAGGCAGCCCATTAGGCATCAGATAATACATCTGGCCACGTAGCACAGTCCCAGTCAGCCCTCTGCCCCAGGGTGTGTGGTGTGTGCACTTGAGAGAGAGAGAGAGAGAGAGATAGAGAGAGAGAGAGAGAGATAGCGAGAGAGAGAGAGAGAGCGAGATAGTATAGAGCTCGAGAGAGAGCAGAGCGATAGACTAGCGCATCTGAGAGTTAGAGAGAGATGGAGAAGAGTGGTGTTTGAGCCCATTGCATCAGATAATACATCTGATGCCATAGATAGTCATGTCTGTGAGCCCATTAGACACAGTCCCATCACCCTCCTGCCCCAGGGTGTGTGGTGTGTTCCACAGCGCAGCACATGATCAGAGGAGAGAGAGATAGGAGAGAGCCTCGATCTCCTCGCTTAGCCCTCGCTCTATCTTCTCTCTCCAGGTGTGTCCTGTGTCATCTTCTTCCGCTGCTCTCTCGATGTGTGTGATCCCTTACGCTCAGATTTGACATCGGCCACGTAGGAGAGCCCTCTGGCCCCCGGTTTGTGGTTTCACTTGAGAGAGAGAGAGAGAGTCGACGATGAGAGAGATCTCGAGCTCTAGAGAGAGATCGCCGCTCAGAATCTCTCGCCCTCCACTATTTTTTTCTCTCTCTCTCTCTCCCTTTCTTCGCTCTCCTTGGGAGAGTGTGTGATGGGATTCTGCCAGCAAGTTAAAGTACCTTATCATTTTTGCTTGTCAATACAGTGTTTTGCCATTACAGAGATTGAATTACACAAGTAAAGTAGTGGAATACAGTGAAGGAAAGCTCAGAGGAATATACCAGAGTGGTTTTAGGGACAGTGTATAATCATGACAGCTGCTACTGTATCTGTATGATATATTACCTTCTTTTTTCAGCAGACTTTTTTATTTACTGCAGTCTGAATCAGCTAAAGAGATTAAAACTATTTACCCAGGTGGGAACTCTGTATATGCAGGTGTGAAGGTTAGGGGGGATAACAGATGTCTCACTTTGCTCACAATAGCTCTCTATTGCTCTCTGTCATCTGGTAACCTGAATGTCCCACGGCAGCCCCCCCAACACACACACGCACCCATGCATACACACACAGTCCCCCAATATACACACAAACAAACACACACACACAAACACGCACACACACAGTAGCCCGGGGAGATGGGATGTATTGTGTGTGTTTGTGATTTGGCCCACGTAGGGTGATCAAAGCCATATGGCCACCAGGGCTGAGTCACTCACATACTGCTCTGTCTCTAGCCAAAATGCGCACACACACGCACACACACACAGGGTGACATTATTCCCTACGTAATAAGGAAAAGCAGTTGATGAAATGGACCCTATCAACTCAAGTCAAAGAATGTCTGGAAATAAATTGTTTTATGTCTTTTCGGCTAGCTCTGCCTTGTGTTCCCTTGAGGGTATCCATATTCAAACCACATTTTGGAAAAACATGTTTACTATTACCCTCAAACTGCCACAATCCATAACCCACTATCCAAAAAACTGAATTTGTCCAGTACTAATATAAACTATAGACCAAGTCCCAGTCCACAGCTCATTAGGCACAGAGAAGAGTGCGAGAGGACAGAGAGATGTAGACACACATGCAGAGCTATTTCTGCCCCACATCTCCCAAACCACCAACACACACACACACCATGACACCTGATGATAGGGAGAAATCAGGTCATGCTAATTTACTACGTATGATTGAGTTAGGGCTCATTAGCATGGCCCAGTGTGACACTGCCAGCTCACGTGAGTGCCGTACTATGGAGACTAATTACTGGGTTTCTCTCTCACACACACACACACACACACACACACACACACACGTGCACACACGCACACACACACACACACACACACACACCGCTTGATTAGACATACAACAACCTGAATTATAGCCAATAAAGTCCACCATTTATCTGACAGCTGAAGGATTTAGTCTTCTTGCCGTACATATAAACCAGAAACATTTACCTCCTTTAATAAATTGTTTATCTCTTTCCCTTCTTCTGCCCCTACTCTTATCCCTACTCCGGCCTGAATCACCACCTTCTACTCCTGCCACAGAACATGCTACTGCCCAAGCCTGCCTCTCCTTTGCCTAAACTCTACAGTTACACTATCCCTGCCTCCTACCCTTCCCTGTCCCCAGAGCTTATCCTCATCCTGATCGCAACCTACCCCCTGTCCCCAAACCTAATCCCAGTCTCTAACCCTCTCCCTAACCCCAAGCCCCTACTTCTGTCCCCAGCCCATAACCTCTTCTCCTACCCCTATCCCTACTTATGCCTCTCCCTAACCACCCCTTCCTGTCCCTTACCTCCCCCTGTCCCCTGTCTCATATCCATCCCTCAGCCCACTTACCTCCTCAGAAAGTATCTTACCTTCTGAGGAGAAATCGATGAGCCCCAGGAAGTGCATCAGTTTGAGGGAGCTACAGACCACCAGTAGTATCCCCACGGTCTGCAACCCCTCCATCTCCCACACCTCACGGAAAAACACCAACTGCATCTTGACACACTGTCCCAGAGAGAGAGATAGATCTCTCCGTTCCCCCTTTCTTTCTCTCCTTCTCTCTGTCTATCCGTGTCAATCCAAGACAGCCTTAGCTCAGACCCCCTCCGGTCCCTCAGAGTCGCATTTATATCTCTGTCCACCTTGTGCTCTCTCTCTTGTTCAGTCTCCCACTATCTGCCAGTAGAAAGCCATGGTACGTCCACTCAGGTCAGAAGTGATGACGATGTAGAGTTTCACTCCCTCTGTCCCCTCTCCTCTGTCTGTAGTAGGTAGTATTGACAGTGTAGAGTTGACTTTGTCCATAGTAGCAGCCCTGTCAAGAACAGCTTACAGGTGGTTGTCTGTCAAAGGTATAGAGAAGGTCCTCTGTAACTCAGCCCTACGGGTTGACCTGTCAGCCAGCCTCGTCAACTCTCATCAATCGTCCGTTACTTCTAACGATAGTTATCTGGACTAAGAAGAACTCTCCAATATCATTAGGTAGTTAACCAGAGTAGAAAGGTGATCATAGTCCTCTGTAGATCTAAGCTATATTTAAGGTTTATGATTTTACTCTCACTCCTACACTCTTAGAAAAAAGGGTTCCAAAAGGGTTCTTTGGCTGTCCCCATAGGATAACCCTTTTTGGTTCCAGGTAGAACCCTCTGTAGAAAGGGTTATACATGGAACCTAAAAGGGTTCTACCTGGAACCAAATGGGTTCTACCTGCAAGCAAAAAGGGTTATTCAAAGGGTTCTCCTATGGGGACAGCCGAAGAACCCTTTAAAGTTCTAGATAGCAACTTTTTTCCTAAGAGTGTATCTATCTACCTACTCCCTTTTCTTTCTGTCATTCTGTTTGTTTCTCTTCCCTCCCTCTTTCCATCCCCTCCTGCTCAGTCCCTCCTAGTGTGTAGTTGGGTCAGTAGCATGACTTTGGATAGAGGGAGGAAAGAGCGAGGAGAGAAGGATGAAAGTAGGAGAGAGGGGAGAGAGGGAGGGGAGAAGAGACAGGATGGCGGAGTCGGGGGAGAAGAGAAGAGGAGGGAAGGAAAGGAGTGGAATGGGGAGGACAGGGAGTGACATGCAGCTGGGATTCACGCGACGCTGGCAGATGTGGCCAGACTCACAGATGTGGCTCTCCTTCCCATGAGTGCTTCCCTTGGCTTGCATCTACACAAACATACCCACGTGGAGGTAGGTGTGTGCCGGTGAGATGTAATGTGTAAAATTGGGTGAAATCTGACTCCGGGTGTATCATGTCTCTGTGCCAGTAAGATGCCAGACCTCAGGTTGTTTAGACTGGCACCTGATACACCGATGTCATAATAACGCCACAACAGCCAAACCAACACCATGCCCACAAACCACAAACTGACACCAAACCAACAGTAAACCAACCAACTTGACTAACAGACCAACCATAGTTCAACGTACCCAGCCAAACTAAGCAGAGACTGACAAACTATAGCCACAGTTAAACTAACCAGTCAAACTAAGTGATCAAAACTAAACCAAACCAACACCAAACCAACACCAAAAGACTCAACTAACTAGACAATCTACTGTTGTATGCTTAAGCCTCTAAAAAATGATCTGACTTTATAGCAGAAAGAGAAAGACATTGTGTCACAACCTTTTAGGTACAAGATGTGGGGACACTTTCAACAAGTGGAAATATATCCACTCTCAAGGAGATTGATAGAACTGGGGAAGAATAGTAAAAAGGATCAAGGGATGAGATGGAAAGTGGGTTGAGGGTCAAGGCTGTGTGTGTGTGTCTGTTCTCAAAGAATATTCACTCATAATCAGCGAGCAGAGGAAAAAGGGGGGAGAGGGGGGAAACAGAGGGGTGAGAAAGTGGGGTGAAGAGTGAGGAGGACTGGTCTGTCTGCTCCAGTGATTAATAATGCTCCACTATTGGAACTAAGCTCCTTGGAAAAAGCTCCTGGGAACCACGGAACACTCAGCCACACCACTGAGCAAAATGAGGCCTCCAAGATTCAGTCCAGACAGCACAGACAGCCTTACACAGAAAAAAGGGTTATTTGCGGAGGGATAGGGTTCTACCAATAACCGTTTTCATCTGAATAACCCTTTTTGGAAGTTGAGGGTTCTTTGTAAGGCAAATGGTTCTACCTTAAACCTTTAACATCCTAAGAACCGTCTTTGGAAGAAAGGGTTATTTGATGACTCTTTGGAAGGCAAGAAGGGTTTTACATGAATCTGATAGGCTTTTTTATTGTATTTTTGTGTTTATTTTAAATAGTGTCTGAGAATTAGTGTTTACCTCAGTGTTTATCCTTTTACATCAGGAGTTTGAGTAATCTTCTAGGTGTGAGAATGTTTTAAACTGTACCTATATGGGAATATTTGTGATGTATCTGGTATTCCCTTAATCATTTTACATACAGTATACAGTACAGACAGAGTTGATATCTTTGACATGATTTCTGTCTTTCTGTGATTTTATTGAGCAGAGAGTAGGAGAACAGAAGGGAATGAGTGAACCAGCAGTGTATTGAATGGTAAACAGCAAATTGCCCGGTTTTACCAAGTACTGATATTTCAGTGTAACATGTCTAGTGTTGATTCAGGAGTTAAATTAACTTAACACTAAGTGGTGTAAAAGAACCCCAGTGTTGGTGTTAAAGAGCCACTGAACACGTCGATTGGCACGTGTTTTTCTGTTGCTCACTAGAAAAATTAGATTTCAGTCTTGGAGGTGTGTTTCCTGACCGATTCCGTGTTTGGTTAATTATATTTGTCCCCCATGAGACACTGTAGCCTATTTCACTTCCTCAAAATCCCCAGAATGAATCTAACATAACTCAAGAAATCTGTAATTCATTTTGACATTTTTGCCGAGGACGTTTTTGCAGAGGACAATTTTACATCTAACTAAGGTGTTTGGTGCAGTATTTCTCAAGTAACAAAAAATGTGCGACATGTTGTCTTATGTAAACAAAGTCAGAGCTGCTGGGCAGGTCTGTCTCACTGTCTATGCTGTAGAGAGCAATCACCGCAGCTGTTCACCCAGTGTTAATGGGCAAATGGACATTGTCAAATCAAAACCCAACCTTAATTTACCCGTTGTGATGCACGGATGTTCCAAACTCCATTGTAGACAAGACTGACTTTATTACAAAAATTATCCTATTTACACTTTGTAGTCAATTTTGACACTAGACTAACTGTTTCTGACTCATATCGATGCCACATAGGCCATTTTCAAAGGGATTCGTTGCTTTCTTAGCTCATTTTTACTCTGTGTAGAGTAAAACACTCAAAACCACGCCCGCCATTAACATATTTCCCAGCATGCTCTATTGCAGGCTGATTTTCAGAATTGCAGAATATCTGTGTTTTTGCTTGGTTGATTAATATTATGCTACACAAAGATAAAAAACAGATTTTTTTCTAAACTAATCCTATCTGTTAGTAGTTGGAATTATTGCACATGTTACTGAGATGGTTGTTCCAGTTTAGATTGTTTAGGTAGTCTCCTTAGTCATCTTCCCTACCCTGGTAGTCATTCTGAATGCAGGATGCAGGTGATTAAAAGCTCCAATTGTTGGATATCCTCACTCTGGCTGGATTCCAATAGGCAATTTGCAAGCCAGCCTGATGTGGCCTGTAAACCAGGAGTTTCCTAACACCACTGTGTTAGGATATAACTAGGCCCTCAAAGAAAGGTCTGATGATATTCTCACGGGGGACCAGTATGAAAATGTATGCACTCACTAACTGTAAGTCGCTCTGGATAAGAGCGTCTGCTAAATGACTAAAATGTAAAATGTAAATGTATAGGCCTATGTAATGTATTGTCATAAAGAGTTAATTTTTTATGCTTCTTATTATTATTTTTATATTGTGTGCATATCCTTGTATTTTTAATTTGTGTGATTGTCCTTGTCTATCAGTGTATCAGTGTTTTGTTACTTTTCATGATTTGTGTTTTTTGTGGACCCCAGGAAGAATAACTGCTGCTTCTGCAAAAGCTAATGCGGATCCAAATAAACAAATAATAAACAAATAAAGGCTACTAAGGCTGGTGGAACTGTTTATAGAGGGTTCTAGAAAGAACCCTGCAAAGATAAAAGGTTTCTTGGTAGAACCGTTTATAGAGGGTTCTGGGAAGAACCCTTCAAAGATGAATGGTTTCTTGGTAAAACCGTTTATTGAGGGTTCTAGGCATAACCCTTCATATAGGTTTCTAGATCAAAACAATTTCCAGGAGGTTCTATGAAGAACCCTTCATAGAGGATTCTATGTAGAACTTTCTGCAAAGGGTTCTACCTAGCACCAAAAAGGCTTCCCCTATGGGGACAATCCGAAGAACCCTATATGGTTCTACCTTCTTTTCTAATCAGCCAAACTGTGTATTAGTTATGATGAGGAATACTTTGCCTGCGGCCAGACAGTTGAAACACCTCCAGATTTAGGCTTCTACCTTTGGAATTATCCCTCTGAAAAGATAATAAGCCAATTAAAATATCTAGGTGTGTGTGTGTGTGTGTGTGTGTGTGTGTGTGTGTGTGTGTGTGTGTGTGTGCGCGCGAGCACGTGCGTATGTGAATGCGTGTGTATACTGTAGGTGAGCGAAAGAGGGGGGCATTGACGAATTACCAATTACTGTAAGTAAATGAAAGGGGAGAACATTTGCATAGATTATTAGCTTTAGGGAGGTTTTATAATTAGGGATCTAGAACAAAAATAGATGAATTACATTAACTACGTCCTTTTGGCATGAACTACAAAAACGGACAAATCTGACTACAAAGTTGGAAAAATCTTCACTGTATTCATAACAGAAGCATACACGCGCACTTGCACTGGACTGGCAGCATTGAAGGATCTGCTTTGAGGATGTTGTCTTTTTAGTCGCATTATCAAAGTTGTGTCAAAGCCTCCTTTCTTAGCCAAAATACAGTATTACCTGTGGTCTTCTTAAGCTCAAATTATGTTATTCTTGCTCATTGTTACCTAATTTTAACAATGCATAATAAACTAGTC